ACAGAAAGGTCTAGCTTCAGTCTTCCTCTGCTGGGTGAAGAGCCACAGTGGAGTGAGAGGCAATGAGATTGCTGACCAGGTTGCTAACCTTTCTAACGGCGCTGACAGATCTTCTCGTTCTATCTTGTGCTTTGAGGAGTTAATGTGCCAGTTGAAACAGTCATTCCTCACCCAATGGAAGGAACACTGGAGCAGCCAGGGTGCGGAGACGGGCAGTGGCCATTTTTGACTGATTCTTGCAAACTCCATTGATCACATTGACTGCAGCTGCCTCAGTCGGAGAAGGCAGTGTGCAGTGGCCCATTTGCGCCTTGGCCACGCTGGCGTTGGTGCACACCGGGCCTGCTTTGGGATGGTACAGGACTCAACCTACTCTATTTGTCACCAGGAGGACACCATCTTGCATTTCATGCTTGCCTGTGTTAGATTCGCAGGTCCTAGAGCAGCCTTTACCACTGCATTGGCTAGCATTGGAGTCCCTTGGAGCCTGAACACAGCCTTAGGAGCTGAGATCCCTGCAGCTCAATGCCCTTTAGTATTTTCTTATCTATCACAATTTTTGTTGTAGACTGGCATGGTGAATCTACTATGATGGAGAGCAATTTAAGCATGTAAATATATTAGAAACTTGTACCTTTCCAGAATATCTACCATGCAACAGGATCATCTCCAGACACAAGCAGCTTTTGGCTGTGAGACCCACAGCAAGTGTGTGGTCACACAGACAGACTGCATTGGTCCATAGTGTGCTAGGGCAGCAGCCTAGACTAGCAGAGCTCCGAGTCTGCTGCTTTGCTTTCTTTTTCTGACAGAGATCAGGCTGGTGGGCGCTTTTGTTGCCACAAGTCTTAACCCCAATTGAAAAAAAAATTTTGTCCGTGTAACTCCGAACAATGCACGAGTGTCGTGAGCAACTTTTGAAGTCATTTTACAGCATTTTTAAAACTTAATTGCTAATTCTGTGTTCTGTGTGATTCAACACTCTGACACTACTATTGCATTGTTAGTATAAATTAGCAACAAACATTATCCTTCAAGTCCTGCCTCATGAAGCAAGCATTCTACACAAACCTTGCCATTTATCCCAAATTTATATGCACTTAAGTCACCATGTATATTTAGAATAATTTAATGACTATATTAAAGTTTCACTAAAATTCAGAGTATCGGTACAAGCAATATGAACCTCTTTTTATTGCGTTTCAACTTGGAATGACCCCAAGCTTGTACGGAAAACATTTTCGTGGCAATAGAGCATCGCCCAAATGCGGTGCAGACAAGAGAAAGGAAAAATTTGCGTTGCTTGCAGAATTTTTGTCATGTTGATTTGGAATCTCAAAACTAATTACAAATTAAATGCCAAAAATGCATTATACTATCTTCAAGCAATGTTAATAAATGTTTTAGTATTATCCTATGGTAATGAAATGTTCATATTGGGTCTATTTTTATACATATTTCCTTTTCCCTGTAGCATGGCAACTTTAGTGATGTGGCAACTTTAGTGGCATTGACAGTAGCAAAATATTGGGAATTTACAGCTTCCTGACATATAAAAGTGGTGGGATACCATCAAACAGGGTAATAAGGGACGGGAGGGATAAATCGCGACAGTCGTCTCAACTCCCACATTTTGTAGAAATGTTGTAGCAGCTAAACTAATCAAAATATTGCAAAACTAAAAATAGTGGCATAAAGTTCAACATTTTTACTATCTTTGTAGCATAAAGTAAGTTAAGAAATCATACATTTACTGCCTCTAAAAAATCCCCCAAAAAAGTGCAAAAAGTGAGATTTTGGAAATGTCCCTCTGCTAAGGTCTGTAGCAAAAAATAGATATATATGCTGTATTAAAAAATTTTACTTACACTCTGACTCTGGTGTTGGCTTAAAAATTTGATTGACGGAATTCTCAAATCTCATTCCAAAAAACAATGGCGGCCATTTCTGCAGGACAGGGTTATTTGGGACACCCCTAAAAACGCATTTACAGTAGAAGTAGAATCTTGATTAGCAAAGGCTGCAATTAATGAAAAAATGAATTAACAAAAATTTAGATTATATTTACTGTACCTTGCTCAGCAAAAAAAATTTCACTTAATGAAAAATTAATGCATCACTGGGCATCACAAAATTGTGCTGAGAATGTCATAGATAGAATTGTGCACTGGGCAACATAACACTAAAAGAAATTAACTTTAACTATGATTTATTTCTCCAAAAAATATGATGGCTGTCACTAGAATATTCTTCTCTGTTTCAGGTATGTTTTTACAATTTTTGTTGTTGTTATAGTGAATTCACTTGACCCAATTAAAATGGTGTGAAATTACAAGCCTTCCTGTAAGCTTACAGTCTAACAGATACAGAAAAGTGCTATATGGCTGCTGATATGAAGCTTGCAGTGGACAAGGTTGTTGTAAATGCTCAGTGGCATGTTATCATGGATACGGTAATGGGTAATATCACATCAATAATGCGGTAAAATGTGGTAATATCATATTGGTAAAGGAAAAATGAGTAAAAATCACAGAAAATGTCATTTATTCTACATCTACATAATCTACAAAGGAAAATGAGGACTTCAGATTACTGTTATTAATAGATGAGTACACTCTGCATGCTTCAAACGTTTTAAAATTAAGTTTTATTTCAAGTGTCCCAGATTACCCTGTCCTCAGGGTTGATTTGGGACATTTTTATTTTGCCTCTGGCACCTTATGAATAGCATATTGAATTTTTTAGATGCCATACAATAGCCCTTGCAAAGAGCTGTAAAATGAGTTCAAACTTGTTTATGAAACATTCCATGGTAAGAAGTTATTGACAAAAACCTCTCAAAACCATCCCTTATTACTCCGTTTGACAGTAGCTCAAATCCAGTTCAGGTCAGGAAAAGTCCTACATTTTGCTGAAATAGAGCAGCTTTAATATCATATAATTTCAATAGGTATCAAACTCATGAGGAATTCCCTTTACATTGCAAGGCAGTGATGTAACGCTTTCAGAACAAAATAAAGATCATCAATAAATCAATCAATATACTAGTACAGGATGTCCAATTAAATATTGTTGCCTCATTTTCCACCCAAACCCAACCCATATTAGACCCAACTTGACCACACCTCCAACCCCCCTTGCTCCCCATCTCCCCCCAACTTGCTCTCACCTCACCCTCTACTTGCCCCCCACTCTCACTTCCTACTCAACTAAAACACAAATCAAACTTTTGGGGCTTTTTGGGCTGGGCTAGTTTGGGGAATAAGGTAATGATCTGCATATCTCTTGCAGCTCAACATAGCCCGTTGCAGTGCCTATGGAGTGGGGATATACTCTTTGACATTAAGCTGGTTTTTCTTAATAATAATACCTATAATTACTGACAAAATTATTTATTTTGTCAATTGATTCATGCATTGCCTCTGACTTCACACAAGTGTGCAAAATTTCAAATCATTTGGACAGGTAAAAGTGTGTCAAATATCAGTTATAAGATTTGAAGCTGACAAAATTATTTTATCAATTTTTTAATATAAAAAAAAATAAAAATTTTCAATTTTTAAAATCATTTATTTTGTCATTTAATTCTTGCATTGTCTCCAACTTTACGTAAGTGTGCAAAATTTCAGATGATAGGATAAGCAGAAGTGTGTCAAATTTTGATTATAAGATTTGTAGCAGACAGACAGACAGACAGACAAACAAGAAGTGAAGTTAAAGAGAAGTGTTGTGAAAATTACTTGGCAAAGCACCTGAACACTACTAACAGTGCAGTGAGGCATCTTGAATAATGCTGGTGGTGTATTGGGCTTTAAAACCTCAACTTGGCAATGCAGCTTCCAAAGTCGGCATCCTGGACCTTTTCTTAGCCACCTCAGCCAGAGCCAATTTGTAATATTGAGCAAATTGTTTAAAAATTGAGTGATAACTATTCATTCAACATTTTGTGGATTAAAAAATCATGGGCAAAAATTTCAGTTTTTTTTCTATTATTTATGAACAAAATATAGGTGATGACATTAACTGCAAACAAGAGCATTCTTGATTCTTGTCCCATTCATGAGTGGCTTCTGCTGTGCCTGATTTTCCAGAATGGCTTGGCTTGTAAGCACATGACTTATTCTACTCCTGGGGATAGGTAGTAGGGAGTGGAGTAGGATCTTGTGATATTATTCATTGCAAGTGCAATTAGCAACTTGGAATGGCAAAATGTAGCTTTTTGCCAATTCCAAATTCCATTATATCAGTTGTTTCTTTCTGACCAATGGTAAAAAGTAGCTTCTTTGCCTACAGCTGGATCATGTTTTTTTTTCAAATTTGAAAGTTGTGCAAATTCCATTGATGCAAAATATATCAAGTTGGGATTTGAAAAAAGTGCTCAAACTAAAGGAAAAGCCACCTATTGAACAAGAATGTACAATTGCTACTACTTGCTATAATGTAGCCTATCTTTGAATCACATGATTTAATTATTTAAGTTTGTAATCATGTTGCTCCAGATTTATGCATTTTGTTTATTCTGTAAATCTGGAATCTTGCAGTTCTTGAATATATTCTAAAAATTTTGTAACTGGTCTTATTTGGTATGACCAGCTCCAAGATTCCTGCATCCAAAATGCTTGTATTGTTTTACTTTTTGTAGTCATGCCCCATGGAAAATGCCAACATGTTACAAAGCCAACATGCTAGTTACCAAAAAAATGTAAAATGTTTTCATAATGTTGGTAATTATCATGATAGCTTAAAATGGTATGTATTATGTTTGTTAAAGAATGAAAAATTATAAAATTATTTCTCCCTATCCTTGCAAGTTGCAAGATTAGAATTTAATTAACCTTTGTCTAATAATCTAGACTATGATTATAATTCTCTAAGTGTGATTATATATATACACTAAATTTGCTAATTCTACTGTAACTTATAAAATACCAGCTAAAGTGATTTAATGATAACCAACTAATTGCTGAAATTCTTCTTTTTCAATCTTTTGTAGTGTTTAAATACCTCTAGAAGATTGTGAGTAGTATGGTTTGTAATCTACATCAGGCAGAAGATTTCATTGTTATCTAGATTAGGCAGAAGATTTCATTGTTAGTTCAAAGGACAAAGATTTTTCTTCTTATTTATAATGGGAGGTGACAGATCCCATGGTCGTGGGGGCAGTAAAAAGCCACGTGGTGGACATTCAGAAAGGCCTTATAGGAAACCTCGAGCAGCTAAGCATGATAATCATGAAAGAGAAGAGGGTGGAACAGGTTCACCGCACTCACACAAATCCAAGGGAGGAGTCCGAGGAGGCGGCCACCGGGGCAGCTATAGCAGTTCACGAGCAGGATTTTCAAAAGCCAGAAGCAGCAGGAGATATGAGGAAGAAGGTATTGCTGTGTTTTTACAATTATTTTTGCCTTATAAATTTTATCTCAAAATAATAGATCTTCATTAATACAATTGAATACATATATATATAGCCCAAGTCTCAAATCATCTTATTGAAGTAAAGTTGATGTAATGTTTGGGTTCTGAGATGTGCTAGCAGAATTTTTACTTGAATCATTAGTGAGATGGGACCCAAAAACATATTAGGCCAACCACACACTTTTTTCTCATGTGATTGTTTCCACTTTTTCATGAGTCTATTCAAATGGAGATCACTTTGAAATACTGCTATGAATAATTGACAATTTATGAACCATTTTATGTTTGAGAACTACAGTTTAACTTTGCCATTTGCTTGTTCTAGATTCTGGTGAAGAAACAACTATAACTCGTCAACTACGGAAGCTTCTTCGTGAAGATAAACTGGATTCTTTTTCCACACAAATGGCTGTACTCAATGTATGTGAATAAATTTGACATTATAGTAAAATTGATTTTTTATTTAAATTTTATTATTAACTATTATTGTGATAAATGTTTGTGGTGGTTCTTCCTTTATTACTGCGATACTTGCATTTTAATTCTGTTTAAGCTGTGACTCTTTTATCAATTTATTTTTCAATGAGCGCCTTTTTTACATAGCTTATATATGGTAATATACCTAGGTTAATGTTCCTGGCACTTAATGTAGGTGTAACATGTGTTTTCACTTCCATTAAAGTTGATGTAAGAAGTTCCACTTATTATTGACTTTCAGGATCTTCTCATACTGCCAGAAAACCTGCATTACATCCAGCACTGCGCCCACTTCCTCCTTGACAGTTTGTATGAGCTGCTCACTGCTGCCCCCAGCCAAGCCTGTAAGGTGCAGTCTGTGCAAGCCATGGCCTTCATCAGTCATCTTCTTCCTCCTGATGATGAAAGGTAATAATTCAGACGCTACATCATCATAATAAAGTTACAAGTTTGTGACTCCATCAGCCCCATGGACTCCAATGATTTTCCATGCTAAACCCACCTATCACAGATAGGAAATCAGCTGCTATGTGTACCAAGGCCAATATATATGTGTAATTAAGCTGCTATGTGTACCAAGGCCAATATATACAGTATGTGTACTTGAGCTGCAAAATGTACCTATACCTATGCAGGTTTTGGTAGTTCAGTTCAGGTCGAGACAAAATTATTTAATCAGCATTAACCCTAAATATGTGCATGGTCTAATAGCAATTTTGTTATTAAGCTTTTTGTTTGTGACCATTTATAATTTTCCCTTTGTAGTGGGATCTATCTTGCAACTTGGTTCTAACATCCACTGATAGTTAATATAAGATTGAGTTCAGTTTAATTCAGAAAACATTATTGGTGAAAAATTTTACCAAAGCCTAGATTAATAAATGCCTCAATATAGTTTTAAACCCTTGCGTAGCATAAGCTGTGGATATTTCAAAATAAAAACAAAATTTGGTTTTTAACCCATCAATATTAAACTTTTGAAAATGTATTCAAAGATACAAAGAAATTATGAATGTTGAGTAATTGATGACACAAGTGTAGCATAAGCTGTGAATATTTCAAGATGAAAAAAATTTGTTTTTAACCCATCAATATTAAATTTTTGAAAATGTATTCAAAAGATACAAAGAAATTATGAATGTTGACACAAGAGCATTCAACGAAAGTTTGTTGTTTAATAGGTTCATCAAGCTTGTACTTGAGGGGCTGCGGGATTCATCAGAGACTTCGGCTGCACTTAAAGTCCTCCTGCTTATGGCGCTCAGGAAAGCCATTCTGCTCGACAGGAATAAACGCTCTTCATCTGTGGTGAATTAAATTTGGATTTAAATAGAAGATTAGATTATACTGGTCATACCCCACTTGTATATATTATACAAGTACCACATATATTATACAAGTACAACATATATACCCCACTTGTATATATTATATTCACTAATTTGTAAAATTTAATCAAGAACAAAACTGGCAGAAGATGTCTTATTTTTGATGCCTTTTTAAATTTTCAGGATTAGCTGTACAGTTGAATTATTATAGACAATGAAGAACAAGTTAATTATTGTATCTTTGAAGTAGTTTTGTTCTATGTTACTGTTGAGGCATGATCAATACCTAGCTAAGAAATGCTACCCTATGAATATATGAAGCTATTTATTATGTTGTGCAGTGTAGCCGTGAAGTGGTGGAGGTGGTATGCGGTGTGCTGGAGGGCACTGAAGAGCTGTCGCTGATGGTCGCTGCAGTGGAGGTACTTCGCGCTGTGTATCAAGTCGCACGAGAACATCTAAGTGATTCATTTGAGGTAAATTACACAAATTATTCATGTTAATATTACGTTTTATGAAATAAAATCTTTAATCTTTGAAGCAGCCTGCATTCTTTAATCTATTTGCATGACAAAATGTTGTTGACATTCTCATTAATGAATTGGCATAAAATTGCCATCTTGAAAGTAACTTAAATAAAGCAATCTTGTTGCCACACAGGATATTGTTGACATTCTCATTAGAGAATTAGCATAAAATAGCCATTTCGAAAGTAGCCTAAATAAAGCAATGTTGTTGCCGTACAGGATGTTGTTGACATTCTCATTGGAGAATTAGCATAAAATAGCCAATTCGAAAGTAGCCTAAATAAATCAATCTTGTTGCCACACAGGATGTTGTTGACATTCTCATTGGCTGGCACATTGACACGGAGCAGAGCATCTCTGTCCGGGATTATATACGCGAGGCTCTGTCATGTTTTCCTGAGCTCTGGCGAGAGCAGAGTGGCCTCATCACTACTCTGCTGTCTCAGTTCATTGAGGACATGAAGGAGTATTTGCAGGTATTACTGGCCTCATCACCACTCTGCTGTCTCAGTTCATTGAGGACATGAAGGAATATTTGCAGGTATTACTGGCCTCATCACCACTCTGCTGTCTCAGTTCATTGAGGACATGAAGGAATATTTGCAGGTATTACTGGCCTCATCACTACTCTGCTGTCTCAGTTCATTGAGGACATGAAGGATTATTTGCAGGTATTACTGGCCTCATCACCACTCTGCTGTCTCAGTTCATTGAGGACATAAAAATATTTACAGGCATTTATTTATGAGATTTCGTATGTAGATATTATGGATACAGATTGAAAATCAAAGTTTGGATTACGAGAACAGTTTCAAGGTTCTGTAGCTTCATATTAGCAAGATATCACAGTTCCTTGCTTTACAATTGCGCATCAACAGTGAGTATTGATTGCAGGTGCCACTACAGTTTATTGTCGTGTATTGCCTTCATTTATTTGAAATATTTGTCTACAATGCAATAGCCGCACATGTAATTTGTCACAACTACTCATATAGAGTAAGAATAATATTTGCTGATTTATTTACACCTTGACTTTATAATTCGTTCCATAGTTTTTAGAAGTTATATGGGTAAGGAGATCGCGCCTGATATGCAAATTTGACAGACCTCACTGAAAGCAACTAAAAATTTTATTTTATTATTTTCAATGCAATTTGTAAAGATAATCACTTGAGTTTTACTTATCTCGCAATTTCCTTTGGTGCTCTCAATTTATTGTGAGGGCATATTTTAATATTTCATATATATTTTCAGGAGCTAGAAGCCAGTTTGACAGAAGACTACACTCCCGATCCTGATGCAGAGAAGCCTGACGTCTGTGCTGCTAAAGTAGAACTTTTTCTTGGGTAATGAATAGGATAAAGTTGGAATAAGTAAGGGTAGTGAGTAGGATAAAGTTGAAATAATTAATTAATAGAATAAAGTAATTTTTTTCTCCGTGAATTATTTGGCTATGGAAATGTCTTTTTTTATTGGCTAAAGTAAGCTTTTTCTCCTGCAATTAAGAGGCTATAGTAGAACCTTTTCTGAGGTAATTAATGGGCATAGCTTAACTGCCTGATCAACATTGCAATCATTATTTGGCATACTTCTTCATCGAGTTACAATCTTAACATGTCATAGTAATTGTGTTAATTCTTACAATTTTTTTACAGTGCAATATAAAACTGGGTTAAAAGATTTGCTCCTTCCTCTAACTTGAAAATGAATAAATTATCTTTAAAAGGAAAACTGCTTCCAAATATTTTGTTGGAAGAATGCCTCAGTTTTCCAATTAATTGTTAATCAATGAATATATAAGATAGATATATCGTCAACGTGTGTTTACCGTTGTAATTTATTATGACGTTAAATTTTTCCCAGAAATTCTATTGTTCAAAAATATTACAAATTTGTTTCTGTTTCAGAGTATTTGGTTGCGTGCTGTCCTGCCACTCAGCAGAAGAATCCTCGGAGCCGAAAGCCCTGGAGTTAGGGTTCCTGAAGAGTAGCCTCAACTCGGTCCTGACTGCGGCTGAAACATTGCTCAGATGTGGCTATTGCCGCCACTCGTCTTCCTTGTTTGCCACTCTTAATGACCTTATGCGCCACTCACTGCAGGCAACTGCCTCTGTGCAGCATTTGCAGTCGCATTTGCTACGGCTGCTCTGCTTGCAGAAGCCGTTGTTGCAACTTGCGTCGCACGCTTCACAACTAGCGTATCTCAGTCTTCTTGTAAAGGTGGTTATCACAATCAATATCCGTGGTCTATAATGTCGTGATGGCGGTTTAGTAACTTTCTTGTTTACAAATTTTCATAGCAAAAATTCAACCGTGTGAGAGACTTTGTCTGATCTATTTACTTTATTAGGAAATTTTTAGAGTCGGTTAACCTGCAGTTTAGAATCGATATTTGACGACTGATTTTTGACGTTTTTATTGCAATTTTGTGCAGTGGTAACGGGAGCAAACCTCAGAATTTACCCCAGATTTATTGTCATGACAGCTTTACTTTGATCCCTTAATTTTCCACCTATCAGGATTTTCCAGATAGCTTCAAGAAGATTGTCGTTGTAATCGATTGCACTGAAGGTAACTCTAGCCATCACATATGATGCCAAAAGTATTTTTTTCCCAGATTTTAGAGAGTGACCGCCAAACATTAGACGCCAGCCTCGTATCAGAGATGTTTGGCAGCGGCTCGCCGCTAAATCAATTGCACTGAATGTAACTCTAGCCATCACATATGATGCCAAAAGTATTTTTTTTCCAGATTTTGAAGAGTGACCGCCAAACATTAGACGCGAGCCTCGTATCAGAGATGTTTCCCATATGATGCCAAAAGTATTTTTTTTCCAGATTTTGGAGAGTGACCTTGATGCCAAAAGTTTTTTTCCCATGTGATGCCAAAAGTTTTTTTCCCATATGATGCCAAAAGTTTTTTTTTCCAGATTTTGGAGAGTGACCGTCAAACATTAGACGCGAGCCTCGTATCAGAGATGTTTGGCAGCGACTCGCCGCTAAATCAATTGCACTGAATGTAACTCTAGCCATCACATATGATGCCAAAAGTATTTTTTTCCAGATTTTGGAGAGTGACCGTCAAACATTAGACGCGAGCCTCGTATCAGAGATGTTTGGCAGCGGGTCGCCGCTAAATCAATTGCACTGAATGTAACTCTAGCCCTGACATATGAGGCCAAAAGTTTTTTCTTCCAGATTTTAGAGAGTGACCGCCAAACATTAGACGCCAGCCTCGTATCAGGGATGTCTGGCAGCGGCTCGCCGCTAAATCGATTGCACTGAATGTAACTCTAGCCATCACATATGATGCCAAAAGTTTTTTTTCCCAGATTTTGGAGAGTGACCGTCAAACATTAGACGCGAGCCTCGTATCAGAAATGTTTGGCAGCGACTCGCCGCTACGTGAGCTGCGCCTGAGTCGGGAGAGCTGCGTGTGGCAGGCTACCCTCAAGGTCTACCTCACTGCCACGGCTCTCAAGNCTACCTTGGCTGCCTTTTGAACCTAACTTAAAACCTTGTTTAAGTTAAACCTTTAAAACCTTTAACTTATTAAACGTTGCCGTGCAGTTGTGCCATGCAGTGTTGACGGGGAAGCGGTCGCCGCTGCTGCCAAGCTCTACCTTGCCTGACGCTCAGTACTCAACCGCACAGGCCTGCTCTGTCTTCACGTTCCTCCTCACTGGCCTTGCTCAGGTCTAACATTTCTCCTTAAAAATTGTACTTTAGAATAATGTAACATGATATGATATAGCACATAGAATAATATAGAATTTGTTAATAATGAATCATTATTGCAAAATTAAAAACGCTAAAAAAATTATCCAGTTCATTTAACTTTAAATACCCATTAACACGTTGACTCCAAAGTGGTACATATGCGTACCACGAAATGTATTTCCCCAGGACGTAGTGGTACATAATTCAGGTTGCCTAAAATTGGCCAAATCCGAGAACAAAAAAGGCCGATAACTCAATATATACTAATTTATTTGTAGGATCCGCTATTCAAATTCCATTTATTTTCTTTTTTGCAGTATTTAAAATTTAATTAAGAAGTACCCCTATCATAAATTTTAGCTGGCCAATGCAATTGAGAAAAACTAAATCACGGAATTTGTCCGGAGAAAATGACCGTCTGGCAACCCTGTTTAAAAACAGTACAAAAAATGAAATAATTGTACAAGATGAAGCAATCGTAGTCAACGTGTTAACAATAAAATTATACTTTAGAATAATGTAACATGTTATGATTTAGCATATAGAATGATAATATAGAATTTATTAATAATGAATCGTCACTGCGAGATTAAAAACGCTAAAAAAAATTATCCAGTTTGTTCCTTTGACTTTAAATACCCATTAATTTGTTTAGTGATTAAGGCAAGTGTCACTCGGTATATTCGAAGTTTCTTTACAAGTTCTATTGTAACAGATGAGCTATTTTCTTATCTATGTCAATATTGTAGGATATCAAAAATTTCGAAAGAACAAATATATACCATTTTCAGAATGTTTTTCTATTAATTTAATTGGGACGTTTAAGCTGTGCAAAGAGCAGTAATTACAAAAGAATAAATTACTTTATACTAATTTTTACTTTAAAAAGTAAAACTTTACTTTATAACAAGTTTTATTAGTAAATTTAATTATCTTGTTACAGTTGTGCAGGGATTACAAATTATAAATGATTAAATAACTTGGCTGAAATGAAGTTCTATAATAACTTCTTCACAGTGAAGTTCTATAATAACTTCTTCACAGTGAAGTTCTATAATAACTTCGCCACAGTGAAGTTCTGTAATAACTTCGCCACAGTGAAGTTCTATAATAACTTCTTCACAGTGAAGTTCTATAATAACTTCTTCACAGTGAAGCTCTATAATAACTTCGCCTATACTTATACTTCACCTTATATAAATACTTTGCCTAACTTTAATAACAGTGAAGATCTATTATTTATTGTTATTATTATTTATTATTATTAATTTGCATGAAATAATTACAGCTGTGCAAGGTGCGTAACAGTGAAGTTCTATAATAACTTCGCATATACTTATACTTTGCCTTATATAAATACTTTGCCTAACTTTAATAACAGTGAAGTTCTATTATTTATTATTATTTATTATTATTTATTTGCATGAAATAATTACAGCTGTGCAAGGTGCGTAACTCAATGATCAGCATGTGGGCGCTGGACCCGTCTTTAATTCTTTCAATTTAAATTTGCTGCATCTATTGATTTTTAATCCACAGTAAATTTGCTGCATCTATTGATTTTTAATTTCTTTCAATTTAAATCACTGCCTCGGACGCTACGCTGACTTCCCGTCATGCTAAGGCAAGGGACATGAACTTAATTATTTCAATGTAAATTTGCTGCATCTATTGATTTTTAATTTCTTTCAATGTAAATTTGCTGCATCTATTGATTTTTAATTTCTTTCAATGTAAATTTGCTGCTTCTATTGATTTTTAATCCACAGTAAATTTGCTGCATCTATTGATTTTTAATTTCTTTCAATTTAAATTTGCTGCATCTATTGATTTTTAATCCACAGTAAATTTGCTGCATCTATTGATTTTTATATTCTTTCAATTTAAATTTGCTGCATCTATTGATTTTTATATTCTTTCAATTTAAATTTGCTGCATCTATTGATTTTTATATTCTATCAATTTAAATTGCTGCATCTATTGATTTTTTATTTCTTTCAATTTAAATTTGCTGCATCTATTGATTTTTATATTCTATCAATTTAAATTGCTGCATCTATTGATTTTTAATTTCTTTCAATTTAAATTTGGTGTATCTTATACCAAGTTTTACTTTAAAAAGTAAAACTTTACTTTATACCAAGTTTTATTAATAAATTTAATTATGTTTTTACAGTTGTGCAAGATTAAAAATCCACATATAATCCACAGAAGTTATGTAAACTTGGTGCGTCCATTGATTTTTAATCCACAGAAGTTATGTAAATCTGATGCGTCTATTGATTTTTAATCCATCAAAATTATGTAAATTTGGTGAGTCTATTTATTTTTAATCTACCAAAGTTATGTAAATTTGGTGCGTCTATTGATCTTTAATCTAACAAAATATAGACAGGAACCAAAATCTGTGAAAGATGTCTGCTAATTTTGTGTTAAAGCTTACAAATCACTGTCGTAGCATTGGTCCTTTTAGTCTTCATTGTGAAAAGCTAACAGTTGAACATAGCATAGAAATGAGGTATTGTTATTAGATTTTTATTCCTTCGTGTTGCAGATCCACGAAGGTCTCATCCGCCTTCTGTACACGCACTGCTCTGCACACCACAATTTCGTGGGCTCAAGCAGTTTACTGGTTGACTCACGCCGTCCGTCTCAACCATTCCCTTCATTCCAACCCTTCAACCCAGCGTCCAATCCCCCGTCCTTTGAACCTGCCACAAGAGAATTCATCCCAGCTTCAGTTTCATCTTTTATCCCTTCACACTCACTTGACGTGCAATCTTTCGTCCCTTCATCCATCGCCAAGGATGAAAATTTCAATCGCCAGAATTCATCCCCGAATTCTCATCCTCTCACAGACACTAATGGTTCCGATGTGGATGTTGGGAGAAAGGATCCCAGTGGAAGAAATCGAATGCCTAGTTTTGCTTCCTCTGTTCCTGCATTTGGAGTTTCTTCCACTTCAAATAACTTGTCCATTGTTATCCGTACCATCGTTGAGTTATTTGATTTGGTAAGTTGATTTCTAAGCACAATTTTGTTGCTAGGTATGTATTCATGTCACTTGATTGCTTGAATCACAAAAAATATGCAAGCTAATGTAATTCCACAAAACCTTATATTTTTTATAAAAAAAGTGAGATATATAAGAAATATTTAGAAAAAAAGTATTTCTTATAAAAATTTCAGAGTCAAGCTCCATTTTCGAATTGAGGTTGTTGATTGGTTCTGAAACGTTTTCTATAAGATCAGGCGAACTTTTGTGGAATTATGTTTTTGAATTTCTAGGTCATTGCCTTTTTCTGCATGGTTCAGGATATACAGTAATGGAAATTATTTAGGAATTTATAGGTCATTGCCTTTTTCCGCATGGTTCAGGATAGAAGACCAATAACTGGATTCTATGTATCTAGCATGAACAGTATATATTTATTTCCAGTTCTGCTTAGGGTAGAAATCTTCCTGTAAGAAAGAGTTGACTGCTGCGCTTCAAATGATTGTTGTCTTACAAATGTAAAGAAAATTTTTGATATGGAGCGTTTATTTCATAGTTAAGCTAAATTTTCATTTACTTTCTTAATTGAAGACTATTAATCTCTCAATAATATAATATTACTTAATCATTGAAAATTACTATTTACTAATAATGCTGCGCGATTACAAATTTTATTTAAACTAGTCAGTGCCAAGCATTCTCAATGTACTTATCGTAAAATGTACGTTATCGTAAAAATCATGAATCTCTTCACAATTTCGTCAGAAAATGTCACAATAAAATGATCCATCGCTACCTCGCGCTTCACCAAAACAAACCAATCTTTCGCGAATATCTTGTTTGAGGTTTATTAAAACTTACCAAAGGAAACCTACTAAAAGATTACAATGTAAAAATTTAAATATGTACTATCAGTTGATAAATTCTGGAAGATAACAGAACAGCGGCGATGCTAAGGGGATCTCTGGAATTCTCAGATATTGTGTGAAGTTCAAAATGAATTTAAGGCACTTGGATCATTAGTTTGCTTAAATTGCAACTTCAACAAAAATTTAAAAGCAAAGTGAATGCACAATATCTTCAATAAAAGATAAGGTATTTAATTTATAATACGTAGTTACGGTTAATTTGATAGCGCGATTGCGATTAAATTATTGACAAACTTGCAATTTAAGCAAACTGAATGATAAATATATTTAGATATCGTAAAGGAAATGAATGTTCTCATTATTTCGTCAGAAAGTGCTCACGTTTTTTCAACAGTTCCCAAGTTTTGTTATGTTAGAATGTTAATTCCTAAGTTTTGTTATTTACAATGTTAATTCCTAAGTTTTGTTATATTAGAATGTTAATTCCCAAGTTTTCTTATGTTAGAATGTTGAAAATGTGAGACGTTGCTCAGGGTTCGCGCTGCTCTGATGCGACACTACACCTGCTGCTGTTGTGGTGCACGGACGTCTGCCGGGACACGGTGAGCAGCAGCTGCAGTACAACTGCTGCAGCTGCTGCATTACAGCCGCTCATGTCTGGTCTCGTCAAGCTGCTCAACCGCGAGACTCGTCTCTCGTCGGAACTCACTGCGAGCGCAGCCAAGTGTCTCGCGAGTCTCGTGCGAGCCGTCGCTCCTTCTCAAGTACGCACTCATAAAAATTTGTGGGAGACCTGACCAAATAGTGAACAATTTTTTGCCCTTCTGTGGGTCATTCTGAAATAATATAATTTTTTCTGAGGGCAAATAATTAATAATAAATAATAATTTAAGAGTAAAAGTTTATAACTTAATTTGTAGCGCATTTTCTCATTTATGGAAAAAAGGTGCTACATTGTGCTCGTCATGTCTGTCCGTCTGTCCGTCCGTCTGTCCGTGACCTCAAGTTTTCGTCGACGAGAAAATGCGCTCTCTGTCACTCACTGTAGTGAGTACTGAGTTATATTTTTTTCTGCGTGCAAGTGTGGAGTCTTGTCGGTATTTGCACTCACAATAGAAAAGAGAGCAATTTCTATTGCTAGTCAAATTACTGCGGGAGAAAAATGGCAAGCAGCCACGATGTGATCGTCGTTTATGTGCGTTTTTGGTTGTGCCAGTTTGACATCCCTCCTATGGTTATATTTGCTGTGTATTTTAATTGTATTACATCAATTTAATTGTAATACATCATCAACCATTACATCAATTGGCTTCTTGATTGAATTTCGAGACAACCAATGAAAATTTTACAGGCAAAACCGCAATTGGACGGTGTTAGAGCAACTGTGTTGTACGAAAATTGTTCAAAACTTGCTAGTTCAGAAGAATGAATATGAACATTCCGAAAAAAAAAAATCCTTACAAATGCTGTTCCAGTTATTTGATGCCTAACGTTGATAGTTGAACAGGCTGCATATCAAGAAAATCTGGTACATATTTAATTGTAGAATGGGTTTCTTATTTTTTTCCCTGTCTTTTTTTCACTGTAAACCAGACAGCGGTATAAAATAAGTGCTGAAACGAATTTTAACTTTTTAAACTAAAATGCGTTTGTAATTATTTTCTTAACTGTTCATCACTGTAACCCAGACATCGGTATGAAATTAGTGAGCTTTTAATTCTCTTCTTAAATGTTTTTCAATGTAACCATGTGGGTTTTTTTTCTTCAATAATGGAGTATCCACCGTATTATTATGAATGAATAAATGAATGAATGTACCCATATCCACCGTATTATTATGAATGAATAAATGAATGAATGTACCCATATCCACCGTATTATTATGAATGAATAAACGAATGTACATAATACATACTATTTGCTAACATAATAGCAAACTATTTGCTTGTGACCAGACAAGTTTTACGCTTTTACTCACACTTCAGATAACCACTCACGGCAAGATGTCCCAATATTCAGTCTCATGAAACAGAAAACATTGCATTAATTTTTACTCTTTACATAATAAGACTATTAACTTAATGACAGACTCTCCACAAAATAGCAAACTATTTACATAACGACACTATTTGCATAATGAGACTATTTACATAATTAATACTATTTACATAATTAATACGACTATTTGCATAATAATGTTTACACGAGAATAGACTTCACACGTACTGACAAATTTAACCTCTTTCCTCACCCTTCAGACGACCGGCGACGACGAAAAAGCCCTCCCAATATCCGGCCTCATGCATAATAATATTTACATAATTAACAAGACTATTTGCATAATAATGTTCACAAGAGAAGAGACTTCACACGTATTAACAAATTTAACGTCTTTCCTCACCCTCCAGACGACCGGCGACGACGAAGCAGCCCTCCCAATATCCGGCCTGATGCAGCAGCTGCAGAGGCACTACCAGCTCTCCATGAACTGCTCCAGCCTCTTGTCCTCCGCAAGCTTCCACCAACTGGCAACTTTTGCGCTCGACGCTTCCAGTAATGCGTCAGTTTCAATATTGTTCTTTTAATTATTCATTGGTGTTTTGTGTCTAGTAACGCGACAGTTTCAATATTGCTTTTTTAATTATTCATTTGTGTTTTGTGTCTAGTAATGCATCTGTTTCAATATTGCTTTTTAATTATTCATTTGTATTTTGTGTCTGGTAATGCGTCAGTTTCAGTATTGCATTTTTAATTATTCATTTGTATTTTGTGTCTAGTAACGCGACGGTTTCAGTATTGTTTTTTTTAATTATTCATTTGGATTTTGTGTCTAGTGACGCGACGGTTTTAGTATCGTTTTTGAAGTGTTATTTTTAAACTAGTTTCCAGTAACGCGTCAGTACTCATCTTGTATATCTTTTCCATGTGCTGTCTGTCGTCCACTAAAGGTTAATATGAGGAAATAGGTTATTAGTTTATCTTTCCTTAGATAGTAAATCGCGACTGCATTTTAATTGAAGATAAAATACCATATCTATCCCTCCTACGGTTATTTATCATCTTTAGTTTTGTTTATTTTAATATTAGTATAGCTAGGCAGTTGTTATTTACTGCAGGTGTTGTTGAAGATCACTGAGTGCTTCTCATTGCTAAGCAAAATTAAGGTATTGCAACGCTAAAAATAGAGATTTTGGAATGACATGAGTACAAACATTTGTAATTTCCGTTTCTTTTAATAGTGGCGGCACCTTAGACTGGCTGGAGCTTACAGCCATGCTGACTCACAGAATGAAGCACAAAGCTGGGTCTATCGACGACGATAATCCCATCTGTAAAGATGTCCTGAAGGCGCCCATGCAACCGGAAAACGTTACCAATGTTGCAAGTGTTGAGCCTGAAGCGCAGCTTGTTACGAAGCAGCAACATTATCTTGAAGACGTTGCCGTATCACAAACAAACTTGGAAGAAAACAATGATTCCGAGGTGGGAAAAAGCTCTCGGTCGCAGAGTGAGAGCGAGGAAGAGGGAGCTGCTGATGGTCAAGAATCAGCATGTGAAGCGAATAACCGGGAACTTGTTAGCCAAGAACTCGAAGATATCAATAACAAGACGAATGTTTTGGTACAAGAAGATAATAATAAGACAAATCCTTCGATACAAGAAGATAACAATAATAAGTTGAATCCTTTGGTACAAGAAGATAACAATAACAAGACGAGTTCCTTGGTTAAAGAATCTCTCAAAACTGATGAGGTATCAGCGCTAAGTCCCGCGCTGCTCGCCGACCTCTGCATGCGGAACAAGAAGATGCTGTGGCGCTGGCTGATGTGGGTTGCTGCACAGCACTGCGTGGCGAACAAACTTAAAACTTCTCTCGGCAAACCCGAGGCTCTTTTCCTCATCTTGAAAGGTGACAAAAAAGCTTTAGAAATTTTCCTGTGGAACCCTCGAAAGGTGACAAAAAAGCGGTGGGAATTTTGCTATTTAACCTTTAAACTTAAAACTTCTCTCGGCAAACCCGAGGCTCTCTTCCTCAAATTGAAAGGTGACTAAAAAGCGCTGGGAATTTTGTTATTTAGCCTTCAAACTTAAAACTTCTATAGGCAAGCCCGAGGCACTCTTCCTCATCTTGAAAGGTGACAAAAAAGCGCTGGGAATTTTGCTATTTAACCTTCAAACTTAAAACTTCTCTAGGCAAGCCCGAGGCTCTCTTCCTCATCTTGAAAGGTAACAAAAAAGAGCGCTGGGAATTTTACTATTTAACATTTAAACTTAAAACTTCTCTAGGCAAGCCCGAGGCTCTCTTCCTCATCTTGAAAGGTGACAAAAAAGCGGTGGGAATTTCGCTATTTTAACCTTTTCCCGACTGCAGAATTTCACGTTATAATCGTCTCGAATGTTAGGTTGGTATATTTGTTTTAGGCAGTCCGAAAAGACTTAAACATGTAAGTGTTTTAAAAACGATCTGCCTTGGTTATTGTGCAATTGGAAATTGAACAAAAATTCGTCATTGATGAGTTTGCACATTTGTTGATGACATTTGACGCAATCAGAAACCAAAATCAATGTTTAACATACTTCAAGCGTTTTGGTTCCAATATAAATTATTTTAAATGTAAAGCTGCTAATCTAAGTTGAGAGGCTCGTAATGTTGACTCGGTTCAAGTATTTTAGTTAATATACATTATTTCTCACGGAAAATACAAATCCTTCAAAGTTGACAGGTTCATAAAAATTTGACTTAGTTCAAGTATTTTGATTAAAATATTGTGTACTATTAAGCCTTCAAAGCATAGAAGAATTGCCCATGGATAATTTAGTAACTTAATTTATTACAACCATCAACTTGAATTGTTGTTCTTGTGGATATCTTCTTCACGATACAATACAGAAACAGAAGTTATTTTAAAATTATTCCCCTTCCCTATGAATTACGTGAGAAATACGATTTAAACTTTTTAAAAATTTAAGTGAATAACTTCTGCAGGAGGCAATACAGAGGGATCTGAGTCTTGTGCCTTGCCGTGCGTGTTCTTACTCATGGAGTTCCTGAGTGCTCTCGAGAAGAACTTACTCATCATCTGTGACGGCTGTGTGACCTACTCAGTGCCTGTTTGTAAGGTGAGTCAATGTATACTCAATGAGGTATATCTTTAATTAAATTAATACGAGCGTTAAAAAACAAGAAGTTGCAAGAATCGTCGTCGGATTCAAGAAAAGTGGATGCACACGCTGGAACTAAGCAAGAATTTGAAAATTTTAAAAATTTCTTCCTAGTTATCAATTCATATTTTTAACTTTTCTTAAATTGATTTGCGAGTCAAGCCCATAAAATCAATTTCTATAAGTGAAAATTTGTCAACCTCCATCGACACTCGATCAAGCTATTGTAACAACTTCATAAGTGAAGCGTGTCAGGGTGAAAGCGTTTTAAGTTTCAGGTATATTCTTCTTGTAAAAATATTCCAAACCATAGGTATAGTTATTGTATAAAAGATTTTCAAACCGTAGCTACATTCCTTTTACAAAAGTAGTATCCCAAACCATTCCTTAGGTAAAAACCTTCCAAATTCTGAAAGGACGATACACGATTAATTTCTTTTACACTGCGCAGGCAACTCGCACGTTCTTCAGCAATAACCGCGAGACTTTCTCCTTAAAAATAAAATTATACTTTAGAATAATGTAACACGATAGGATATAGAATGATAATATAGAATTTATAAATAATGAATTAACATTTTTCCTTAACAATAAAATTGTACTTTAGAATAATGTAACATGATATGATATAGCATGTAGAATGATAATATAGGATTTATTAATAATGAATCATCATTGCAAAATTAAAAACGATAAGAAAATTATCCAATTTGTTCCTTTAACTTTATATACCCATTAATTTGTTTAGTGATTAAAGCAAGTGTCACTCGATATATTCGAAGTTTCTCTATGACTTCTATCGTAACAGATGAACTATTTTCTTATCTTTGTCAATATTGTAGGTTATCGAAAATCACTGAAGAACAAATGTATAACTTTTTCATAATATTGTTCTATTAATCAATTTAATTGGTACGTTTAAGCTGTGCAGCAAACGGTAATTACAACTAAATAAATTACTTTGCGGAATAAAAATTTTATTAGTGAATTTAATCATGTTGTTAAAGTTGTGCAAGGATTAAAAATTATAAATGATTAAATAACTTGTCTGAAGTGAAGTTCTATAATAACTTCTTCACAGTGAAGTTCTATAATAACTTCTTCACTTTGAAGTTCTATAATAACTACTTCACTTTGAAGTTCTATAATAACTTCTTCACAGTGAAGTTCTATAATAACTTCTTCGCAGTGAAGTTCTATAATAACTTCTTCACAGTGAAGTTCTATAATAACTTNAATGAATGTACCCATATCCACCGTATTATTATGAATGAATAAACGAATGAATGTACCCATATCCACCGTATTATTATGAATGAATAAACGAATGAATGTACCCATATCCACCGTATTATTATGAATGAATAAACGAATGAATGTACCCATATCCACCGTATTATTATGAATGAATAAACGAATGAATGTACCCATATCCACCGTATTATTATGAATGAATAAACGAATGAATGTACCCATATCCACCGTATTATTATGAATGAATAAACGAATGAATGTACCCATATCCACCGTATTATTATGAATGAATAAACGAATGAATGTACCCATATCCACCGTATTATTATGAATGAATAAACGAATGAATGTACCCATATCCACCGTATTATTATGAATGAATAAACGAATGAATGTACCCATATCCACCGTATTATTATGAATGAATAAACGAATGAATGTACCCATATCCACCGTATTATTATGAATGAATAAACGAATGAATGTACCCATATCCACCGTATTATTATGAATGAATAAACGAATGAATGTACCCATATCCACCGTATTATTATGAATGAATAAACGAATGAATGTACCCATATCCACCGTATTATTATGAATGAATAAACGAATGAATGTACCCATATCCACCGTATTATTATGAATGAATAAACGAATGAATGTACCCATATCCACCGTATTATTATGAATGAATAAACGAATGAATGTACCCATATCCACCGTATTATTATGAATGAATAAACGAATGAATGTACCCATATCCACCGTATTATTATGAATGAATAAACGAATGAATGTACCCATATCCACCGTATTATTATGAATGAATAAACGAATGAATGTACCCATATCCACCGTATTATTATCAATGAATGTACCCAGACAGCGGCGCCCTGGCTAGAGGAAGTAGCAGCCCTGAGTCTCACAATGCTGGGCCACTCCAGTGCCTGTCTCTTATACACATCTAGATGTGTATAAGAGACAAGTATATATATTTCCTGTATGTATATTTATAGTATCCAGCATGGAACTGTACGTATATATATAATTCCTGTTCTACTTCGGATGAAAATCTTTCTGAAAGAAAGAGTTGATTGCTGCGCTTCAAATGATTGTCGTCTTACAAATGTATTGAAAGTTTTTCATGTGGAGCGTTTATTTCATAATTCCACTAAATTTTTATTTACTTGCTTAATTGAAGATCTCAAAAATATATAATTACTAATAGTGCTGCGTGATAACAAGTTTTAATTTAACTAGTCAGTACAATGCATTCTCAATGTACTTCGTTATTGTAAACTTTATGAATCTCCTCAAGATTTCTTCAGTGTATAAAAATAAAAAATAAATATTACCTATTTACCTATTACCATAAAATAATCCATCGCTACCTCGCGCTTCACCTACCGGGGCTTCACTTCATCGCAGCCATTCAAAAGATGTTAAAATAAATTAATCTTTCGCGAATCTCTTGCTTGATAGCGGCTTATTATAACTTACCAAAAGATTACAATGTAAGAACTTAAATATGTACTATCAGTTTATAAATTTCGCGAATCTCTTCCCGAATNGACCTCTGCATGCGGAACAAGAAGATGCTGTGGCGGTGGCTGATGTGGGTCGCTGCACAGCACTGCGTGGCGAACAAACTTAAAACTTCTTTAGGCAAGCCCGAGGCTCTCTTCCTCATCTTGAAAGGTGACAAAAAAGCGGTGGGAATTTTGCTATTTAACCTTCAAACTTGAAACTTCTCTAGGCAAACCCGAGGCTCTCTTCCTCATCTTGAAAGGTGACAAAAAAGCTTTGGAAATTTTCCTGTGGAACCCTTGAAAGGTGACAAAAAAGCTTTGGAAATTTTCCTGTGGAACCCTTGAAAGGTGACAAAAAAGCTTTGGAAATTTTCCTGTGTAACCCATGAAAGGTGACAAAAAAGCGGTAGGAATTTTGTTATTTAACCTTTTCCCGACCGCAGAATTGTACGTTATAATCGTCCCGAATGTTATGTTGGTATAGGTATTTTTCTTTGGCAGTCCGAAAAGACTCAAACATATAAGTGTTTCAAAAACGGATATGCCATAGTTATTGTGCAATTGGAAATTGAACAAAAATTCGTCATTGATGAGTTTGCACATTTGTTGATGACCTTTGACCCAATCAGGAACCATAATCAATATGGCGTTTTTATTGTAATTATGAAACGATTTAATATGGAGGTGGGTCTAATTCGAATAGGTGCGGCCCCGCTTTTAAATATTTTTTAGCCTTTTTTCTTCCAATAATTAATATAATAGAATTTCAGTAATATAAATTCTGAAACCAACATATCTTGATATCTTCTCATGAGATCTGCATTTATCACAATTAATCCACAAGATGATCATTATATATTCATGTTATTACCATTATTCTCTCCTCAATTACAGTGGCAACCCACAAGCGTCTTCAGCAGCTCATGCGGACCTGCAGTTCCAATCCTGATTGGCGGGATCGTCTCAGTGAGGATGGTGCGTCTTTACCATATGTTTGCTTCATATGAATTTCCTTCTGACTTGAAAGGCTCATAATGTTAACGTAGTTCAAACATTTTAGTTTCAATATAAAGTATTTTATATGTAAAGCTGCTGATCTAAGTTGAGAGGCTCGTAATGTTAACGTAGTTCAAGCGTTTTGGTTTCAATATAAAGTATTTTTTATGAAAGCTGCTAATCTAAGTTTAGAGGCTCGTGATATTAACGTAATTCAAGCGTTTTGGTTTATATAATATAAATTATTTTATATGTAAAGCTCGTAATGTTGACTCGGTTCAAGTATTTTGGTTAAATTATACATTATTTCTCACGGAAACTACAAATCCTTCTAAGTTGACAGGTTCTTAAAAATTTGACTTGATTCAAATATTTTTGTTAAAATATTATTTACAATTAAACCTTCAAGGCAGAGAAAAATTTCCCATTAACAATTATTCTTTTTTTTACTAACTACTACCATCAACTTGAATTGCTGTTCATATGAATATCTTCTTCAAGATACAATACAGAAACTGAAGTTATTTTAAAATTATTCCCCTTCCCTATGAATTACGTGATTGTTTACTCATTGAGTTATATCTTTAATTAAATTAATAAGAGCGTTAATAAATGAGAAGTTGGCCCTAATCGTCCATTTCGAGAGAAATGTTCGTGGGAAACACACGCTCAAACTAAGCAATAATTTGAAAGCTTTAAAAATTTCTCCTGAGTTTTCACTTCAGAGCTAAAATATTATCTTCGTCAAACTCCCTTGCTTACATATTTTTGTCTGTTCGTGAATCGATTTACGATTCATACCCATAAAGTTAAATTTTAAAGTGAAAATTTGTCAGCCTCCATCGACACTCGATCAAGCCATTATAACAACTCCATAAGTGACGCGTGTGAGGATGAAAGTGTCGAAAATTGCAGGTATATTCTTCTTGTAAAAATATTCCAGACCATAGGTATAGTCATTGTATAAAAATTCTTCAAACCGCAGCCATATTCCTCATATGAAAGTATCCCAAACCATGTGTATAGTTCTTATAAAACTGTTTTTCAGACCGTAGCTAGATTCCTTATATAAAAGCATCCCAAACCATACGTACCTATAGTCTCCTTGTATAAAAGTTTTTCAGACCGTAGCTACTAGCTAAATTCCTTATATAAAAGTATCCCAAACCATTCCTCAGGTAAAAACCAACCATTCAACCTTAGGTAAAAACCAACCATAAAAAACCATTCCAAATTCTAAAAGGACGATACGCAAGTAATTTCTTCTACATTGCGCAGGCAACTCGCACGTTCTTCAGCAATAACCGCGAGACATGTCACGAGGGGCTGTCTCGAGTGCGTCTCGCTGCCTCGCAGGTCGCCTTGGGGGGCGGTATGCCCTACGAGAGTCTACGCCACGCCTTAGCTCTTCTTGCCAACCTCGTAAGCTTTTAGGATATTATTTACACTTTTATGATGTTATTTGCTCTTTTATGATGTTATTTGCAGTTCAGGAGCGGCGCTATTAGAAGTAGCTTAGGTACTCATAGCGGCCTTAGTACTGGCTGAAGCCTAAGTACACGTAGCGGCCGATTTCTCCTCTGTGATTTGTGGGTGTTCTATCTTATAAACTCTTCAGTGATTGACTGACAGACTTGCGAACTCTTGTATGCCTGTGACTAGACGCTCCATGTCTGTGGCAATCATATTGATCCATGGTTATATTTTTAATAATACCGGTATTCCGTGCCTGTGGCCTCACTGGCCTGAACGACGTTTCGTGTCTGAGCATAACAAAGATGTATATGTTTCTAGACATTGTTACTGTCCATTTGTCCATAATTATGCTTCATGTGGTGGCCTTATTTACGCTCCATGTCGTAGCCTTAAAACGCTCCTTGTTGTAGCCTTACTTACACTCCATGTTGTAGCCCTAATAACGCTCGATGTCGTAGCCTTAATAACGCTCCATGGCGTAGCCTTACTTACGCTCCATACCGTGACCTTAATAACGTTCCACGTTTGTTTGCTTAATAACGCTTCACGTTTGTTTGCTTAATAACGCTCCACGTTTGTTTGCTTAATAACGCTCCACGTTTGTTTGCTTAATAACGCTCCACGTTTGTTTGCTTAATAACGCTCCACGTTTGTTTGCTTAATAACGCTCCACGTTTGTTTGCTTAATAACGCTCCACGTTTGTTTGCTTAATAACGCTCCACGTTTGTTTGCTTAATAACGCTCCACGTTTGTTTGCTTAATAACGCTTCACGTTTGTTTGCTTAATAACGCTCCACGTTTGTTTGCTTAATAACGCTCCACGTTTGTTTGCTTAATAACGCTCCACGTTTGTTTGCTTAATAACGCTCCACGTTTGTTTGCTTAATAACGCTCCACGTTTGTTTGCTTAATAACGCTCCACGTTTGTTTGCTTAATAACGCTCCACGTTTGTTTGCTTAATAACGCTCCACGTTTGTTTGCTTAATAACGCTCCACGTTTGTTTGCTTAATAACGCTCCACGTTTGTTTGTTTAATAACGCTCCACGTTTGTTTGCTTAATAACGCTCCATGTGACAATGAAGTAACGCTGTGTGTATGTGCAGGCCGTAGACGCGGACGCGACTGAAGTGACGCGCGTCGCGGTTGTCTGCGCGCGCGCCCTCATCGCCGTGCGGTGCCCCGCTGCTGTGCTGGGCGTGCAGCGCTGGTGTCTGCAGCGCTACCCTCACCTCGTCCTGACATGGCTCTATGCTGCTGCCTGTGCTGCTGACGACAGGTGACGTGCTGCTGGAGCAGGTGACGTGGTGCTGGGGCAGGTGACGACCTGCTCCAAATAAGCGCCTGGTTCCTTGACACTGATGTAATTAATCGATAGTTTAAGCGATAATTTAGTAGTTTTAAGTATTAAGATTAGTTGTTCCGGGTGCCTTGGTACTGAAACTCGCTTAAAGGACACGTAGTTGCCTAATTACACATAGCGGGTTATATCTCGTCTGTGATAGGCGGGTTTAGCTGGAAAAGCCATCAGTGATTGACTGACAGAGTTACGTAACTATTTTTGATGGCACGGCTTCTTGTGTTTAGGCGCCGGTGCTGGTCTTTTGTATGTTGCTGGGCCCTAGTGCTTTAGTCTTATCTAAGACGCACGACATTAATAGCGCTCTCATACAATTCATCTTCTGGTATACAGACACGAGGCCGCTGTAATGGGTCTGCACCATGGTACTGTACACTAGCGCTTCTAATAGGACACTAGTAGAACACTAGTAGTGGTTGTTTCTACAATTCTTTCCTGGTTTACAGACACGAGGCGGCACTAGTGGCCCTTCACCAGTACCTCATGGGGCTCCCTGTTCACTGCCCCGCGTTGGGCCCCCACGACACAACCGCTGCGGGGCCCCCGCCCGCCACCTTCGCCTACTGCTGGGCCAACTACGATCTCCTGAGCTCGCCTGTGTTCGCGAGTCTCGACATCAGCCTTAAGGAGNCATCCTCTGGTGTACAGACACAAGGCGGCACTAATGGGTCTGCATGATGGTGTTGTACACTAGCGCTTCTAATAGGACACTAGTAGTGTTTGTTTCTACAATATATCCTCTGGTGTGCAGACACGAGGCGGCACTAGTGAGCCTGCACCAGTACCTCATGGGGCTCCCTGTTCACTGCCCCGCGTTGGGCCCCCATGACACAACCGCCACGGGGCCCCCGCCCGCCACCTTCGCCTACTGCTGGGCCAACTACGATCTCCTGAGCTCGCCTGTGTTCGCGAGTCTCGACATCAGCCTTAAGGAGTTCATCTTTGAGCAGGTTAATATTGATGCAGGTGCATGATGTAGGTGCATATTGATGCAGGTGCATATTGATGCAGGTGCATGATGCAGGTGCATATTCTTTGAGCAGGTGCATATCACCGCACTAAGCTGCTTCTCTTGATTTTTAGCGCATTTTCTCATTTATTGAAAAAATGCTCTATTGTGCTCGCCATGTCTGTCCGTCCGTCTGTCTGTCCATCCGTGACTTCACCTTTTCGTCGACTAGAAAATGCGCTCTCGTCACTCACTGCAGTGAGTACTAAGTTATATATTTTTTAATAGTCATTTCCGAATGTTATGGTAATTTCTGTCGGTTTTTTAAAACCTTTAAAACCTTAAGTTTTTTTAGCCTCTGGTCTAATTTGTTTGTGACAACATGTAATTCACGCGATCTATTTTCTTAATTTTTAATATTCATCATGTACAAGTGAAGTATTTGATGATGGCTATAATATGTAATGTTTTTTTATAGTGTTAGTCCTCGATATCCTGTAATGTTATTATGTTAATCTTGTGCTTTTCTTCTTCTAGTTATTATGTTCATCTTGCATATTGTTCATGCTTGTTCTGTTTTATATTATCATATTTACCATATTTAGATTGGCGAGTGCTACAGTCGCTTCACTGCGTACGACTTACTGGAGTCGTGGTCACGGCAGAGCAGCAAAGTCTCAGCAGACTTGACCAGCAGCTACACTGACTCTCCCATCAATACTTATGCTAGGTCAGTAAACTCTTGATGGATGGCTACGTCAGGTCAGTAAACTCTTGATGAATGCCTATGTCAGATCAGTAAACTCTTGATGAATGCCTACGCCTGGTCAGTAAACTCTTGATGAATGCCTATGACAGGTCAGTAAACTCTTGATGAATGCCTATGACAGGTCAGTAAACTCTTGATGAATGCCTACGTCAGGTCAGTAAACTCTTGATGAATGACTACGCCAGATCAGTAAACTCTTGATGGATGCCTACATCAGGTCAGTAAGCTCTTGATGGATGACTACGCCAGGTCAGTAAACTCTTGATGGATGCCTACATCAGGTCAGTAAACTCTTGATGAATGACTACGCCAGGTCAGTAAACTCTTGATGGATGCCTACGCCAGGTCAGTAAGCTCTTGATGAATGCCTACGCCTGGTCAGTAAACTCTTACTCAACGATTGGAATGAATAATGGATTTCATTTTGCTAAATCTATACCTATATGTACCATTCCACAAATTATATTGATATAGTTAGTCATGACAATGCTGTTCGCGCATCTTTGCCACAAACTCATTATCGAACAATTTTTAATTTTTCTCCCACGCTATTCACCTTCAAATGAATAATAATTCATATCCGGGATATTTTGCAGGGCAATGAGCGAGTTTGACCGCGGTGAGCTCCTGCAGCCGTCGAGTTCTTCCGCATTCTGGTCGCCCCTGTGGGGCTCAGCAGACCCTTTACAGGGGTCTGCTGCCCTCTTACAGGGGTCTGCAGCCCCCTTACAGGAGGGCACGACCCTCCTGCAAGGGAGTGCGTGGCCCATATCAAAGCAGGTCGCTGACCTGGAGCTGGGAGTCCTGCAGTGCGCTGTTAAACTCATCCACAGCAACCAAGTTGGCATGCGGTTAGCCTTCTCTATTGTAATTTTAAAATTCTGCAATACGTTCCTCTCTATGGACTCTTTACATTTTATTGTCAACTTAAATAGGCGAAATTACTTTTAATAATTTATTATCGACGTTATAAAATCTAAAAAAGGAGCTAAATTTATCTAAATAGAATCGTCCCTCATGCGCAAATGGTCCTATATTAATTATTCATTGTAAGAAGCCTAATTTCTGTGATTTCATTTGAAATAATTTATTGTACCTAATGTGCATGTTATTTGATTGTACAGAGTTACTTTGATGTCACCTTTAACGNCTAATTTCTGGTATTTCATTTGAAATAATTTATTGTACCTAATGTGCATGTTATTTGAGTGTACGGAGTTACTTTGATGTCACCTTTAACGATATTGATAATATTACAGCTGAAAAAAGCTTAACGATACCATTATCGTCACCAGTAACGATTGTAAAAACGTTACAGCTGTAAAGAGCTTCCTGATATTGATCATATTACAGCTGTAAAGAGCTTGATGTCAGTATTAACGATATTGATAATGTTACAGCTGTAAAGAGCTTGATGTCAGTATTAACGATATTGATTTGATACATGCATATGACTTGCTCTGTGTGATACATGCATATGACTTGCTCTGTGTGATACATGCATATGACTTGCTCTTATGATACATGCATATGACTTGCTCTGTGTGATACATGCATATGACTTGCTCTGTGTGATACATGCATTCGACTTTTGTAGGATGCCACTATGGCTCACCACTTCTTAGCGCATTTTCTCATTTATGGAAAAATGCACTATTGTGCTCGCCATGTCCGTCCGTCTGTCTGTCCGTCCGTCCGTGACTTCACGTTTTCGTCGACGAGAAAATGCGCTCTCTTTCAGTCACTGCAGTAAGTACTGAGTTATATTTTTTCACCAATCCTACGGGCAGCCAATACGGCTATACTTCCATGAGTAATTCTTAGCAATTCCTGTGGTGTACAGGTGCGTGGGTGCCACGAGGGCTCCCCCATGGGCGCCACCTACTACGAACAGCTGCCCAGCGCGGGGTGCCTGCCTTTCCTGCCCTGCGATCTTCTGCCCACTTGCCTACGTCACGCCAGGCTCGTCGCGCAGTTCAACGCCAACATGGGTAAACAAATATACGCCTAGCTAACTGCCTTTCACTGTACACAGTGAAAGCAGGTTTGCCCGCGCGGGCAATCTGCCACAAGAATGAACATAAGATAATAATGTAAGTGTTCACAGTGAAAACCTGTACAAATAGGCTTCTGTATTCTATGGTTTCAGGCGCCAGCCTGAGCTGGTAACCAGCACGCTGGCAACCTGCTTTCACTGTGTGCGTACCCTTACGCATGTGTATCTGAATTTGTGATTAAAATTGTGTGTGTATTCATGGTTCACTATCTTGTACTCTGGATGAAAGTTTGTTTATTGTGGACGCTCTATTTCTCCCTAGCCTAATCGTATTTTATTTCATCTAAAATGTTGGGCTTGATATGGTGACTTTTAAAGCCGACAAACAATATTCACAATTATAGGAAGTGTTTTATTACAGCACTGCTAGATTTTACTAGGCTTTACGGGTTTAATGTATATAACGCGCTGCTTTAGGAAGTTTTTTATTACAGCATGCTAGATTTTACTAGGTTTAACAAGTTTAATGTATATAACGCGCTGCTTTTTTTCCCCTAGCTGACTCGTCCAATATTGTGACGGGACTTGAGATGGCGACTCTGAAGCAGGCGCGCAAGCAGCGCAATTATGGGATGAGTTTGAGCGCCTTACTGCGTTTGCTGCGCCCACATCAGGAGACTGGGATGTGCCAGCAATACTCGCACGACGTCCTCAGCTCCTGTCTGGAGGAGGCCGCAGCCGTAGCCATAAGCGCGCATTATTATCCCAACCATGTGCTTCTTCTGCTGAAAGAGGGAGCCAAGCTTATGCATCAGTGAGACTTGGTTCAGAGAATGGCATGATGTTCTTCAGAATTTCTAGATCTTATGGCTCATAAATGTTGCTGTTACGAATGTATTTAATTACTAGGTATTTATTCTTTCAAAGTATTCTTGAGAATACATGTGTTTTGTCAAGGCGAAGGTGCTAGATATTCTAAATTTTTGTAAGACTTTAGGCAGTCATCGGTTCATTTGAGCTTCTTGCCAAATGATTTTATGATAGTACGGTACATCAATATTCAGATATTTTTTTGTTTTTTAGGGCTTTCGTAATGGAATCTGCTCATGAATTCTTTGTACACGGATTTATATGTCGTCAGTGATATTCCTTTTTGCCTTGGAATATAGTAGCTGTGAGTACACGAAGAGTTTACAAAAGACTCATCACCCAAGTGATGTTATTAGGTTATTGAGTTAATACTCTAATTACTGTAGATATCGACTCTAGAAGGTGCTTGTACGTGGGGACAGTAGTAGCAGCCAGTGTAACTTACAAATCTCGTGACTGCCACTAATTGTCGAGCTACTGGCCTCATGTAAAGGGTTGCTTACTGACGTCTTCCGTGCTTAGCGCCTATACCAAGCCAATAGCATGGGAAGTAGTGAAAAGTTAGTATTGTATTGGCCATCAATACTGTCTCCGTGTAGAAGGACTTGAACGACAAACTATTAAACTGTCTACTATCGCTTACATTGTTTTTCTGAAGCACTAAAACCGCCAGCACCAAACTTACTTTTGCTCTCATTCACAGAGCCGGGGACGCCCTACAGCTCGTAGGGACTGACTACATCGAAGCAAGTTGCGGCACGATCACTACAGTCATCGATGCTTGTTCTAAACAGGTCTTTATTATTCGTGATATTATTAATTTATGAAGCGATTGGCGTAGCGTTTGGCTCGAATTTCGAAGGCATGTTACACATAAGTTTGATTGAGAGAAAAAAAAAACACTATAAACGAAAGCAACTAATAAACACGACTATGCGTATCATTCAAGGGCTCATAACGATATGTAATGCTTGCATTTAATTTATACCACCAGTCGATTAGACGAAGAGATACATACACTAACTAGCTTCTGAATCACTCCGTGTTATGAACTCAATCTTACCAATTAATTTAAAAGATGCATTGTACAGGTTTTCTTCAACTGTGATACCGAGTCTGATCTGTCGCTGAACCTGGCGCGTTCCATGCTCACACTCTCCAAGTGGGTCGAAAAAGACATTCCTTTCTATGAAAACGTTGTTGTAGAACGATCTTGGGCCACCGCTCTTCAACAAGGTCGGTTTATTTGTTTAATTAATCATGAATTTAGCTTAATTAATGATTTATTGGATTATTTAACCCTTCTTGGTGGCTATAGGTATATTTAGTCAGTGTTTGATGCCAGTGGAGAAAGGGCCAAAGGTTTGTCTAGAACATTTCCGTGTTTTCTAATGTCTCGATATGCATTTCTTCTGTGGAAAGCTATTTTGTTCAGTTTAAGGTTTGAAAATAAAAGTTCTTTGTAATTAGCTATGCATGAAGATTTTTTTTTTTTTTTTTGCATTAGTATATCTCGATCGGTTGACACTAGGTAATAATTTCAACGCAGTTCAATTCACAGTCTTTAGAATTGTTCACTTTTCACTTTGATGGCTATTTTTGCAATAAATTGTATAGGTACTATTCTCTATTGGGAATTAAACACTTATTTACTTGCTGTAAACCAGAATTAAGGATTTTACTTGGTGGAATGAAACTTTTGATGAAATTATGCCACAATTGGCAACTTACATGGTTTTGTTTGCTCCTGCGCTCCAGCTTCGCCAGTGCAGAGAACCAGCCTTGTGTTATACTTGGTACAATTATATTGCTAATTATTTCATGAAACACATTTCGCTACTTTGTTTGCAGTTTGTTCTACTTGTTACAATTAAATTGCTAATTATATCATGAAATAAATGCCTTTACTTTGTTTGCAGTTTGTTCTACTTGTTACAATTAAATTGCTAATTATCTCATGAAATAAATGCCTTGACTTTGTTTGCAGTTTGTTATACTTGTTACAATTAAATTGCTAATTATATCATGAAATAAATGCCTTCACTTTGTTTGCAGTTTGTTCTCGAGGCGAGCTGGGCTTGTCAGCTCCCATGTCAGGAGTTGCTGCAGCGGCGGCGCGGTGTGGTGCCGCTCCTCGAGACCAGCTGATCGTGCGCTGCCTCTCACTGGCCTCCGTATACCAGCCTAGCCTGGCCACTGCCTGGTACAGACTTGCCAACTGGTGCTTCAAGTGAGTGCTTGTCAACTGGTGCTTCAAGTGAGTGCTTGTCAACTGGTGCTTCAAGTGAGTGCTTGTCAACTGGTGCTTGGATTTGATAGAAGAAAGCTTCAGTGTGCAGAATTATCTTAAATTCTATAGTATACGAGTTAGTTGTTGAGCCACTTACTTTTGACTTTCAGGACTTTTTGTCAAATAACTTTTGTCATTTCAGGAAACTAATAAGAGATGGAAGTTCTGATAATTTTTTACATGTTATGCCGTGCCTGTTGTAAGTTTAGAACTGTTAACATTTGTTGTACTTACCGCGCATTTCCTCTTGCAGATTTGGAAGCATTGCTGTAGACAGCGTTCTTGGCTCAACGGTTCCCATGTTGAACACAGAAGATATCCTGCAAGTTGAGTTGCTGTTAACATCTCGCTTTAATGACCTCAACACGACGTCATTGAATGCTTTGGTGGGGCGTGTGTGCGGTGCAATCTCATGGCTACCACAACGAGATTGTTTAAAGGCGTACCTTGAAACCCATGAACTCTCCGACCTTCGACTTGAAGAAACTAAAGAGTCCGAACAAGTAATATGGGGATGATTTTAGGATTTGATATTTTGTTCGGGAATAACGTTTTCTTCTGAAATATTGTGTGCGATGCAATCTCGTGGCTACCGCAATAGGGTTGAGCTTTAATTTGTTCATTGAAACTCGTGAACTCTCCGACCTTCGACTTGTAGAGATTAAAGAGTCGGAACAGGTAATATGGGGTTGATTTTAGGGTTTGATATTTAGTTTTGCAATATCATTTTGTTTTAAATATTGTGTGCGATGCAATCTCGTGGCTACCGCAATAGGATTGAGCTTTAAGTTGTACATTGAAACTGTTTAACTCTCCGACCTTCGACTTGAAGAGACTAAAAGAGTCCAAACAGGTAATATGGGGATGATTTTAAGATTTTATATTTTGTTTGGGAATAACGTTTTGTTCTTAAATATTGTGTGCGATGCAATCTCATGTCTACTTAAATTGTACCTTGAAACTGTTGAACTCTGCAACATTCGACTTGGAGAGATCGACAAGTCCGAAGAAATAATGTGGGAATGTTTTGAAGATTTGATATTTTATTTAGAAATAACGTTCTGATCTTGAGTATTAAATATTCAGATTATCCCATGATTTAGGGTCTGATATACTTTTTCATGTTGGGAGTTTCATGATCTTTCCTGAATTATACAATGGTGATCATTTGAATTTAATGGATGTTCATCAATCTAAATAAAAAACGATAAAGGGTACCTAATAATCTCTGCGTTTGTCTTGAATTCGCATTCATTACTTACCTCTTCAATGAAATTGCAAAGAATTTCATCACCGTAAATAATTTGTTCAAGCAATTTAATCAATGCGTCTCACGTTTCAGCACTTGGATGGGCTCGTGCTGCGTGCTTTGGGAGAAGCAAAATTGAACAGCAACGAAGAGCGCGAAGCATTGCTGTCAGAGTTGCAAAGCGTGCGTCGCGCTGCGTTGCTGCGCCACTACGAACTGCTCATCGTCGCTGCTCATTCGTACTTCCAGCTCTTTGCCAACGGCTCATTGGTATTTTTATTTATTTATTTAGTGTTGTATTAAAACAAACTCCTTGTTCATACTTCCAGCTCTTTGTCAACGGCTTTTTCGTATTTTCATTTAATTATTTAGTGTTGTATTGAAACCAATTTCTGGTTTATACTTCCAGCTCTTTGCCAACGGTTCTTTGGTATTTTTATTTATTTAGTGTTGTATTAAAACAAACTCCTTGTTCATAATTCCAGCTCTTTGACTACGGCTCTTTGGTATTTTTATTTATTTAGTGTTATATTGAAACATACTTCTTGTTCAATGTTCATAATTCCAGCTCTTTGCCAACGGCTCTTTGGTATTTTTATTTATTTAGTGTTGTATTGAAACATACTTCTTGTTCATAATTCCAGCTCTTTGTCAACAGCTCTTTGGTATTTTCATCTATTTATTTAGTGTTGTTTTAAAGCAAACTCCTTGTTCATAATTCCAGCTCTTTGTCAACAGCTCTTTGGTATTTTCATCTATTTATTTAGTGTTGTATTGAAACCAACTTCTTGTTCGTACTTCCAGCTCTTTGCCAACGGCTCTTTGGTATTTTTATTTATTTATCTATTTAGTGTTGTATTTAAACATACTCCTTGTTCATAATTCCAGCTCTTTGACAACGGCTCTCTGGTATTTTTATTTATTTGTTTAGTGTTGTATTGAAACATACTCCTTGTTCATAATTCCAGCTCTTTGACTACGGCTCTTTGGTATCTTTATTTATTTAGTGTTGTTTTAAAGCAAACTCCTTGTTCATAATTCCAGCTCTTTGCCAACGGCGTTTTCGTAATTCTGTTGATATTATTTTAATATTTTTTATTTATGTTGAAACCACATAAGCTTCATGAAACTGGTTGCATTAAATTCAAGTTATTGTTCATTTTGTACAGTTGTCTTGAATCACGTTAGACTACTTCTGGTCACTCCATGTTGCCCTGCACGAGCTCAGGAACTTCAAAACAGCTTTCATCATTGGACGCCTGTCATACCTCAGGTATTAATAACTCAGAACATACCTCCGGTATATCTGCCCCACCGCCCCCTGGACGCCTGTCATACCTCAGGTATTAATAACTCAGAACATACCTCCGGTATATCTGCCCCACCGCTCCCTGGACGCCTGTCATACCTCAGGTATTAATAACTCAGGATATACCTCAGTTATCTCCGCCACACCGGCCTCTGGACGCCTGTCATACCTCAGGTATATTCTTTTCTAAGTGTATAATTTTCTATAGAAATCGTCACTGTTTGTAGATTCAATTTTTCTACTTCAGATACCTTCACACTTTTTCAACTTATGATACTGAGTTCCTGGCGAGAATTCTTCTTCACCTAAAAAGGATTTGGTACTCGAAACGTTTGATACATGTAGATTTAATTTTTTTAATCTGGAAGTTAAATTTATTTGCAATTCTGATCCTGAATACTTATAAGGAGGAATTCTTCTTCACTTTAGAACTATTCGGTATTAAGAAAGGGTTAAAATGCATTAAATCGTCTTAAACGTGTTCAATTTTATACAGAAGTTCACAAAGCATTATTTCAATTACGATTGTTCAATTTTGAATTCCTATTATCTTATTATGTCTGCTTTATTTAAGTTGTATTTGCATTATATTGACGTCATATTTGCAGTTGTTCGCTCGTCTGAACCACAGTGAAGGCTGGGTGCGGGACGGCATCACTTCAGTGTTGTGTCGCCTGGCCGTACATCAGCCTCACCACATCGTCGTGCCCGCTGTTGTGGGTGCCAACACCCACACCTCCACCACCAACATGACTGGTAACTTAATATATTCTTATTTGCATTCGGCCTCTATTGCATTCTGCCTTTAGCAAAAAAAAAAAAAAATTCTTCTGTCATCTAGTACCACCAGAGTGTTAAGCAAGTTTTTTTTTCCAAGGACAAAATTTAAATTTTGAGGAAAAACTTGTATTTTGAGTCATAAGATAAATGCCTTCACACATAAGAATAACTGGGTCATATTGTCCTAATAATAGCGAATTTTCTGCAACACCGATGTTTCCTTTTTGTTGATCCAAACTGGGTCACGATGACCATTCATACAAAATCTAATATATTTACACAAAGTCTAACTCATTTTTCTAAGCATTTATTTGTAATTTGCAGACATGTTGGCGAATTTACTGCAAGACGGCGCAGACAAAGAAGAATGTGACAAGAAAGTCTAACTCATTTTTCTAAGCATTTGTTTGTAATTTGCAGACATGCTAGCCAATTTACTTCAAGACGGCGCAGACAAAGATGAAGGTGACAAGAAAGTCTAACTCATTTTCTAAGCATTTGTCTGTAATTTACAGACATGCTGGCCAATTTACTGCAAGACGGTGCAGACAAAGAAGAAGGTGACGATGCACGAGCGCAAGGTCTCGTCGCTGCGGACGACGTAGGTGCGCTGGACGTGGAGGGCGACGAGGACGAGGAGCGGGACGTGGACTTGGATGGATGTGAGGAGAACAGGCAGCTCATGCTCAGCTCCTGCCGCTGTCTTGTCAATGAGCTCAATAAAATGGTTTGTACTTCATTATTGTGTTTATTATATCCATGACATTTCTAATATCTTTTGATGAATTACAGACTACAGCTTTCTTCGTTTTCATCCAAATAATTTCTTTGACTTGAATTTGTTACTTGTTTTTAACCTTTGCGACAGGTAATAGCATTTCTTTCTTTTAAATTCTTTTATTTACTTATACCTTGAGCCAAAAACCTTTAGCCAACTTATTGAAGTACTTTTCGTTTTTCTCTGTAGAAGATAGATTTTAGGGAGGGTCTTAAATCTTCATGTTAATGATCTTTATTAGTCTGATGCTTTAGATCTATATTATTTTTTTATTACATTTCAAATGTCACAATACTCATAATCTGGTCTTGGCCGAAAGTTTTTATCTGATCTTAAGTTCTCTGGCCGTACTATCAAAAACAGTTACAAGTTGTTAACTTCATCAGCCAATCACTGATGGCTGCTAAATCCAGCAATAATAATCTGAAATCGGCCACTATGTGTACTTTGGTTTCTACGTTTACTTGAGCGAGTATTGACAAAACCGCCCCTGGTGACCATACTGGAACATAGCCTCCAACTTTTCACTAGCCCTTGCTGTGCCCTCTAATCTAATCGTCTGTGCTTACAGAATTGAGCATTTATTTCTACAAATGCAATCTTATTTCTTACAAAAGTAAGCATTTGTGCCTACAAATGCAATCTTATTTCACACAAAGGTAAGCGTTTATTCCCACAAATGCAATTGTTTGTGCGTCAGGGCGTTCCTGGCGTGGCCGGTGCAGAAGTGCTGGTGCGGGAGCTACGTCGCATCACGGTGCTTTGGGACGAGCTCTGGCTCGGCACGCTGTCCCAGCATCAGGCTGACATTAGCAGGAAGTTTGTTCAACTCAAGGGGGAAACAGACAAACTTGATGCCAACGAGACCCTTTCGGATGACGAGAAACAGATCTTGATACGGACCAAGTTTCAAGTTATATTCAAACCTGTGAGTCCAGATCTTTATTATTCTTGATAAGCTTCGAGACAAGGTATATAACCTGAATTTTTTTTTGTATATTCAATGTTGGGAGAGTTTTGCTCTTACCTCCCCTTACTTTTGTATTCAGGATGTAAAACTGCGATTAGTAAAGACCCTTACTGTGCCAATTACTTCAGCGTTCACTTGGAAATGTAAATATGCTTCAAATTATCAGTGTTATGCCAAAGGTACATCATCTTCCGCACTTCAATAAATGCACGTCATTTTTGCAGGTGCTGCTGCTGCTGGAGCAGCTGTGGCAGTTCACAGGAGGCGTGCCAGAGACGCCCCACGAGCGTAGTGACTGTCTAGGTGACAAGTGACTGTCTAGGTGACTAGTGACTGTCTAGGTGACTAGTGACTGTCTAGGTGACTAGTGACTGTCTGGGTGACAAGTGACTGTCTAGTGGATTTTTTCTCTACGAAAATTGCCCTTCTGTGCGTTATGTACGGTAATTTTCTTCTTTGATTACAATAGGTTGCCAGTGATATTGTTTCTTCAGCCTTCTAATGAATTTATTTTATTGTAACGGTCAAGAAAAGAAGCATAATACGAGACTTGTTTTCTGCGCAGGCACTCGTGAAGCTTTCTGTTCTGACTTTGCTCCTACCGAAATTAGTATCATTATATTTAACGAATGTATATTTGAATTTAACATTAATCATAAAATTATTATCATTATATATAATGAATGTATAATTGATTTTAACAATAATCATGTAAAAAATTACCAATTTATTTGTTATTTTTAACATTATTCATGTAAAAAAATGACCAGTTTATTTGTTATTTATGCCAATTTATGGTTGTTGTGTTTGCAGGCGCTTCTGGAGCGCAAGAGCAGCCGCAGTAACGCCACCCTGCGCCTGCAGGACATCGCGCCCTCCCTCGCCCGCCTCCGCCACACGGACGTCGCCATGCCGGGCATCATGGCTGCTAATAAGCAGGTCGCTGGGCGCTCTTACTTTAATTATGTTCATACATTAACATGAATGATATTCATACATGAATATGAATGATCTTAAATGAGCAGGTCGCTGGGGGCTGTTACTTTAATTATGTTCTTACATTAACATGAATGATATTCACACATGAATATGAATGGTCTTAAATGAGCAGGTGGCTGGGGGCTGTTACTTTAATTAAAGTCTTACATTAACATCAATGATATTCATACATGAATATGAATCATCTTGAATGAGCAGGTGGCTGGGGGCTCCTACATCATTAATATTATTTATCAATAATATTACCGTAAATATGTCTTCTATAAAGATCCATTACCTATAGGCATCATTACAACCTACAAGCAGTTTGCTGAGGGCTCCTACATCATTAAAATTACAGTTCTATTAGCGTTCCTTGAATAATAAACGCTGAACTTTATCCATTTGACCATCCTTAGATAATATTCTTAATCCAGCATAAACATATTCAGCCAGACTTGTCCTTTTATTAAACAAAAATTACCGGTATATCCAGTAGATATCATAGCCGCAAAAAAGAAGGTTGCGAGGCCGCAGAGAGCAAACTTGAATGGTGTCCTGCAATAAATATGTCTCTTTTGAGAAACATGAATGAGGTCCATTCATGTCACTATGCATGTATTCTGTACACCAGCTCATGACATCAATTTCGATGAATTTGAGATGAATTAATTTGCATCATATTTTTATGTATGATTGTGCGTGAATTTTCAAAATTTGCCTCAGTGCACCGATACCTTTTGCAGTTTTTGTTGAATTTTTTTACTGTCGTTTTTTGCGGACGTTTGCAGGTTGTGCACCTGCGCTGCATGGACGATGACGTCACGATACTGCTTAGTAAAACCAAGCCTAAAAAATTGTGCTTCCGCGGAGACGACGGCAAAGCGTAAGTCTAAGATTTTCAAGTTATTTTAGCACTTGCACAGTTGCTAAAAATATCACTTGCTCAGTTGCTGCTAACTCTCAAATATTGAGAACTTGATAATACATGGTTTAAGCGTCATATCAATAGCTTAGTATCACACTCGTGAAAATGAATGGGTCACATTTTCCAAATATTGACACACTCTCTGCATGTAGCACTGATACTACGTCCTTTAGTCGGTCAAAACTGGGCCAGGAGAAATAAGTGCACACACAGAGTGATAATAGAAATAAGTGCACACTGGGCCACACAGAGAAATAAGTGCATCGCTCAAAATCTCTAAATTTTCCAATACCATGTCACCTCATATAAACCTCAACCTTTAGTATTTATTTTCACTTCACCAGATACCGGTACCTTTTCAAGGGCCTTGAGGACCTGCATTTGGACGAGCGTATCATGCAGTTCCTGAAGATGGTGAACACCTTACTGGGCGTCCATGACAGGTTAGCGTGGCAACTCGTCTATCTGTAACTTGGATGATTTACTTTAAATCTTAAAAATTTCAGGTTCTGTTTTTGTTGCCCAGTGTCTAATAAGTGCTGCTTGAATATTAAAATTAGTGATGTAATTACTCATGGATGGTTGACTTAAATCATAAAAGTTTCAGGTTCCGTTTTTGTTCCCCAGTGTCCAATATATGCTGCTTGAATATTGGAATTAGTCAACTTTAAAGGCCAGTTATCGAAATGAATGGTCATTTATGGCTGAATATTTAAGATCCGGAATTTATATAACGTTGAGCTTAATTGATATTGACGACGTTCTTTGTCACATTGTGTCTCACCACCAAATTATGTTCTTCTTATCCTCATATATTAAGACTGGTTACCTGTGACCAACAATGCTTAAGATGGGGCTGGAAATAAGATGTCAAATATTATACTAAAGACTTTTGATGATGCATGAATTTTCCTTTACAGAAACGGAATGTACAGAGCTCAGCATTACTCAGTGGTGCCGCTGGGTCAGCGGTCAGGACTCATCCAGTGGGTGGAGAACGCAGCGCCGCTGTACGCGCTCTACGGACGACATCAGCAGCGACAGGCGCTGGCGGTCGCCCACCGCACTGGCGCGCCCCTACAGCCTGGTGGGTGGTAGTGGTGGGGGTGTCCTGGTGGTGGGTTGTGCTGCTGGTTGTCTTGTGCCTGGTTGTCTTGTTCAGGTCGTTGTGCAGCAACGACCTGAAGCGCTAGCAACTACGGCCACTGAACTAACTAACTAACTGTCTTGTGCCTTTTGGATGGTGGGTTGCTATGGTGCAAGATTATTGTAAGCAGTTTCTGATGGTGAAATGATTAAACTCGTTTCTTTCAATGCCGTTTTTTAGTATTACTCTTTGCCTTTTCCTCGCTGTGCCTGAACTCTTTGTCTTCCTTTTACCACAACAACGTCATTCTGCTTTCTACACGAAATTCTTTACCATCCTCACAAAATCAGCGCGTTGCTGATTCAAATTGTATTTCCGCTTATCATTCATAATCTCGCTATTCATGCAGCCCAATGCATGCACATTCAATATTATGTCCAAATTTCAAATATTATTTTGTTTAAAAGTTTCTTGTTTTCACAGTGCGGCGGCCATCTGAGCTCTACTATCAGAAGCTAACACCTCGCCTCAAGGCTGCCGGTGTGAGCCTCAGCTCCAGGAAGCTTTGGCCCAAGCACATCCTGAAGGAAGTTATGCTGGAGCTCATCAGTGAAACGCCGTCTGATCTTTTGTCTCGGTAATAAATTCCGGATATGAATAAATTGATCTTCTGTCTCGGTAATCAGAATAAATTCCGGATATGAATAAATTCGTTGTATTTTTATTCGAAAAAAGAAAAGAATTCTTGGAAATTTGTGCTGGTCAAGCACAAGATATGAAGCCTATAGCTTTGTTTCATTTGTTTCACTGTTGCGGTGAAAAAACAAATCCAAATATCGTGCCTGCATTTTTATGTTTTTATAATTTATGAATGAAGCGAGTAAAAAGCATTTGCGGATAGATGGTAATATTTTGAATTAAATTTTTATTTTAACATGTATTCACTTTATTTGAAATTTTGTCTTTTGATTCAAGATGCATTGAGAAAATATGGATTCACATGCATACAGATTCTTTTTTTTTCATATTTGCAGACCGCAGAAACTAGATATTATCTTAAATACTAGAAACTAGTATTTATTAGTAGATGGTACTATTTTGAATTAAATTTTAGGTTCGTGTTTAGTTTTAATGTGCATGGAGAAAATATGGATTCCCTTTAAGCTTTATTGTGCAGGGAATTGACAGCTTCTAGCCCCACAAGCGAGGACTGGTGGCAGGTGACTCATCGTCACGGGGCCTCCTCTGCGGTGATGTGCATGGTGGGCCTCGTCCTGGGTCTGGGCGACCGACATCTCGATAACCTGCTCATCAACTTCAAAACTGGGGAGGTGCGTGATGTTGTTCAGCAACTTCAAACTGGCGAGGTAAGTAATGCTCTTCATCAAGTCCGACACTGGCGAGATGCGTGATGTTGTTCATCAAGTTTAATACTGGCGAGGTGTGTAATGTTATTCAGCGACATCAACTCTGGCGAGGTAACATGAGCATACGTCGTTGATGGNAATACTGGCGAGGTGTGTAATGTTATTCAGCGACATCAACTCTGGCGAGGTAGCATGAGCATACGTCGTTGATGGGCGAATCGCTGTTAATTCAACTGCCATGTTTCTCTAGATTAGAACCTTTATCTTCCTCAGTACAATTGATGAGACTACTAAACAGGATGTTACTTTTTAGGCGTATGTATATTTGACATTAAGAGAACGTTAAGAAGATACCTTCTTTCACCTGCTCCTTAGAAATAGAGAAGCATACATCCAAGACCAGATGGATCAGGCTGCGAGCCTGAACCAACGAAGAACCTGACCCTGCAAACCGAATATTGCACCTTCGGTGCGAAAGAGACTAAACTGATCTGAAGCGCTAGAAACCTCTCCCCTACTACTACTACTACGGTACTACTACTACCTTCTTTCAATACCTCATTCAAGAAATGTTTCTGCTGCAGGTGGTGCACATCGACTACAACGTGTGCTTTGAGAAGGGCAAGNAATACCTCATTTAAGAAAGTGTTTCTGCTGCAGGTTGTGCACATCGACTACAACGTGTGCTTTGAGAAGGGCAAGCTGCTGCGTGTGCCCGAGCACGTGCCTTACCGCATGACGCAGAACCTGGAGGCTGCGCTCGGAGCTACGGGTGTCGAGGTGCTTCATTCTTGACATTTATCTAATAATCATTATATGAGTCGAACCAAATTTCTTGCTGGCGCCGGGAAAAGCATGCTATGGTCTTCAATCAAACTTGCATAAAAGAAAAGCTTTTGCCGAACTAGTACACCAATAATCATTATATTTATATCGATTCCTTCGGTCAATAAAGCCCTCTTGATATCTTCGATCATTGCAATCATCGGGATATATCTGGTTACCTTGCTGAGAACCTCGGTTAAATGTGTGTACTACTGAGTACACATCATTTAAAGTGCTATCTGTAGACTTCGGTCGGGTTTCAACTAAATGATCTTTCTGCTAAATGAATTCCTTGATGTTATAACACACTGCATTATAGCTGAAGTCCTTGATGGTGTGATACACGGCATTTTTGTTCTTTAAACATAGACTGCTTAATCCATAATTGGGCGTGTTCCGACACGCGTGCGATCATAGCTGTGCCCCTTACGACATTTTTTCTTCAATATACGTCAACAGATTAATCCATAATACTACACACATAATTTTTAATGTATAATATATTGTATGTATTATTGTTTTATAGGTCGTGTTCCGTCACGCATGCTATCATAGCTGACATAGCTGTGCGCCTCACGGCCTTTTTACTTCAATATACGTTTACGGAAATAATCCATAATACAACACGCATGATTTTTAATGTATAATACTAATAATATAATGTATGTATTATTGTTTTATAGGGCGTGTTCCGCCACGCATGCGAGCGCGTGCTAGCCACCATGCGGGAGGGTCGGGACTCGCTGCTCGCGCTGCTCGAGACTTTCATCTACGATCCTCTTGTCGACTGGACCCACGATGCTGATGCCGGTTATGCTGGTTTGTTCTTGTCATGAATATAATTATTATATCTAAAGATTCGTTTGATAGTAATTATAATTATTCATTTGTACCTAAAAACTTGTCGCAACGGACATGTTGTAACTAGTCCTACGACGCTGACCCGGTTTTGCTGGTTCGTTATTGTGCTCGATTTCGTTATTATATCAAAAAATGATTTTGCTAGTTACTGTACTCATTTATTTTCACCTGAAAATCTGTCGCACAGACTCCTGTGAATTATGGAATTCATTCTTGCCTGGAAAAGAGTCGTGCTAATAGTTCTTTCGAAGTCTCTTTAACAAGTCGTGATTTATTTGAAAAACCGATCGTTTTTCATTCAGGGAATTAATTAAATCTACATGAAAACCAATTAATAACATTGACGACGGTGGCTATTGTTCTATCCATATATTCTAGAAAATTAAATAGTCACTAAATATCCTTTCGAAACTTCTTTAAACTAAAACTAGTCTTATGAAATATTGCTTTGGACTGTTGATTTTCATCTAGAGATGTTTAATGTATCAATATAAATTAACATGCTTATCTAAATTAAAGTGTAATTCTGCATTTCCAGGAGCGATGTACGGAGGTAACGCGGCCCTGGCGAGCTCGGTTGAGACTTTTTCTAATTAGTCTTATAATAAAATTTTGCACTAGACTCTTGATTTTCATCTTGAGGTGTTGATAATAAATTACCGTGCTAATGTAAATTAAAGTGCAATTCTGCGTTTCCAGGAGCGATGTACGGAGGTAACGCGGCCCTGGCGAGCTCGGTGCGGCAGCGGCGACGTCAGATGGAGCGCTCTCTCACCCTCACCATGTTCAGGGTTCGCTCCAAGGAGATCGCTGCTCCATGGCTCGCTAACAGGTTGCTCTTTCCAGTTTCCACCATCGATAGATTATAAATTAATAATTAATATTTATTTAATAATTACAAAATGAAACGGAAAAGCCTATTCCCTGCCTATTTCGTTAAGCTTAGTGCTCTGTCATTTTTATCCGTTCCCATCCTTTCTCGTGTCTATTATTTATTTCTCGCTTGCTATTAAACTTATGTGTAACTTGCTCTCAAACTTCGTTTGAACCAGACGCCACGACAAATGCTTCGTAGAACAAAAATAGAAGCACTTAACTTCTAGAAAATGATACATGACTTACATGACTGTTAAAGAAACGCCAAGCTAATTAACTTTATTAATTTATTTGTCGTGCTATTTGCTTTTACATTCTTGGTGAACTTGCGCATTCAGCCGACTAATTATATGAGTATTTTAATCATTATCTACTGCTCATTATTATTATTATTATAATGAATATTATCTACTGCTCATTTTATATATACGGGCTGTTAATTGACCATTTAGGATGATTGGAAAAGCTGATTTTTCTTTAGCTTTCAGGGTTTTATTGGCCATATTTTGTTCAACTCAGTGAGAGACAAACTGGGCGTAAATTCATTTAGATGTAAAAACCTAAACGCTTCAAATAATCTTTGTTTATAACGATTGTAATTTAATGAACGGGTTCAACATTTTAATTTGTTAAAACAATCGGCAACTTGTCGGATCTGTATGACAAGATTATTACCATAGATTCGAGTTTAACTTATTTATGATATTGATTGCAGGAATTGGCTTCTAAACGGGGAATCTTATGCGTTCTTCATTCTCCATTTGACTGAAATTAAACTTTATTAGTTTGTATTTCTTGCTCTTCTTTTGCTTGCATTTCTTTTTCTTGACAAACGGTGGAAAATTTACATTTGTATTATTCACTACGTGTTATTGATTGATTTACCTCGGGCAGGGATGCTGTGGTTGTTCAATTAACAGAAATTTGCGACAGCCTGCGGTCCCTTCTGCTGCTGAAGAGCCAACAGGTTTGTAGGACCGTGGTTGAGCGCAATAACTTTACTCATGTTGTTATTATAATATTATTGCATTACTGTCTGTCTTGTTGTCAATTAGCTTCCCAACGACTGAAAACGTATTTTTGAAACTCAATTAACATGTATCATTAAATTTTCTTCGACACATAATTAGAAAATAACGCCATCCAAATTTTACGAATTATCAGAAGTAAAAGAGAAATCAGAGTTTGCAATTATCAATTACCTTTCGGTTTTATGAGGTTATAGGTACATAATGCTCGAATTTCAGTGATCGGCATCCCCATCTCTGAACTTTTTATGTATTTTTAAAATCAGTTTCTTTTAGTCATTTAAAGTTTAATATTTTCAATTACTTTCGTGTTGCAGGCACCTGCTACGACAGCCACTGGTTGCGACACTGAAGGTAATGAACTTTCGAAATTAAAAATGTATCCCGCACTTCCCCTTATTTATACCAAACAGTAAATTATGATGTATTCTTTACGACCATGTTACTGGAAACGATAATCTTAATTACGGTTAACTAATATCGGGTCGGGTTACATTATTCTATTTAGTAGTATTATTGTTGTGCGCTTCTCCGAAATTTAACCTATTGTTTTAAATCAACATATATATATATATTTTTAATATGCCTATCATATTAATTTAATTGCTAAAGCGCCTTGTTTTTTGAGCATTTAATTTATCTTCCTGTTGTTTATTTCCGTGTTAACTTTGATTAAGCTTACTTTTCAGCTGCGACTGATCTGCTAGAGGCGACGGCTGAAGAAACGTTCATTATGATAGAAGTCGGAGATAAAGTTCAGCGTCTGAAGCAGTTGTTCGCTGCGCACCACAAAATAATTTCTGATGTTAAAGATCTTCTCAGGTCTCTTATGAAGGTAAGTAGTTCGCCCATCTTTTAATAAATTTCTCGACAACGACTTATTAATTATACGTCGTTAAAGGGAAATTGATTTTTTTTTTTCATTTATCCTGAACCTAAGTCGGAGTGTACTTGCGAATATTGAAATGGGTTTCTTTATAGTATTTATACCGTAGATTCTACTGCATTTTAACAAGTCATTCCCGAATCATTATCATTGATGGACGTATCTCTAGCACGCATGACTTCTTACGAAAAATTTATTTTTTGAAATCGAATGATTGACGAGTTAGTCATAAACTTTACGACGTGGTTCTCACATTTCAGTATCTTAAGATTTGACCTGGACTGCCTGGCAGCAAGTGAGGTTACCTAGGTTCATTGTTGATTTGGGCTGTGAAATACGTGTTTTTTCATTACTTAGATGATTCATAATAGAGTTCATGCTCGTTTTATTCTGCTAGACAAAGAAGAACATTGTGTTTGTCTTCTCTCTTGAACTGATTTATTCCGTTCTATTTCAGTTGAAAGACAGCACTGGCGAGAGTGTGTGCGACTTCATTACTCGGTATCGTGCATACGCCGAAAACGTGACAGGGTTCATCAAAACTATAATTTCCGGAGACTTTCGTGCTCAGGTCGCGCAGCTCACCAAACTCGGTGAAGACTTCGTGGCCGTCACAGGTGAGTGGCTCATAACTGAAAAAATATAACTCAGTAGTCACTGCAGTGAGTGACAGAGAGCGCATTTTCTCGTCGACGAAAACTTGAGGTCACGGGCAGACAGACGGACGGACGGACATGGCGAGCACAATAGTGCATTTTTCCATAAATGATAAAATGCGCTAAATACGCTCCTAGTTCGACAGTTTCATTCTTTAAATGACAGAGTGGTAGTGTGGTTCAAGTTAAGAGTGCCAGGATTGGAGCAGTGTGTTGTGGGTTCGAACCCAGCTTCCCGTAACAGTCAGGTCACAGTCAGCGAGGTGGCCGGGTGGTTGAAAACTGCATGATTGGAACAGTGAGTTGCGGGTGGAAAGCCCAGCAACTGTGAGAATTTTGCCACGTCAAGAATCGGGAACTTATAGTAAAAGTCTTTATAGTTTATTATTTAGATATCACACAAATTAAAGATACGTCATTACTAGCCTAATAAACAGAGTTCATTACGCTATTTTTGGCCTAATGAACTCTGACACGATTACTACTATTATTACGACTTACATTTAGGTCCTCAATCGCATTTGATAATGCTAGTCATGTTTGGCGAGCAATTAACTCGTATAAATTATATTCATGTTTTGCAGGAACTTTCTACACAGAGCTACTATCCTTGTGTGATGATGCGAGCGAACGTCGGTCTCAAGACATTGCTTCAAATTCAGCGAAACCTAAAAGCGTGGATACGTCTATGTCTTGCAGTGCCGTTTTGCCAGCTCAATTCGCAGCTTTCACAGACTCACCGGAACAATCTACAGACCAGTCACAGATAGACTCAAGAGAAAAAGAAAAGGGGTTAAACATTGTATCCAACACAGGTACGTATAAATCAAACGCATCAACCAGTTTATCTATTGTGTCCAAAAGTCACGGTTTTTATTACCCACTCGTAATCCATTCTCTAAATTCAACAAAATTCCGCTGTCCGAACCTAACAGAACGCGGGCCAGAGCATTTGAAATGTCTTGCATGCCAGTCTTTTGAAATCTTAAACATGCAGGTTAATTTTTTTTCGACGCAGTTATATTTTTTACTCACCAGTATTGGCATTCGTAAAATCATTTGGAGTTTTTGTTTTGCTGTCGAGAAATGGTATGTACGGCATGGATAGGGCGACCCTGCGATTATGCCTTATCTCTATGTGTCCTTTCGCGGAGCATTTGTTTCTACCAACCTGATGTATATTCTATGATATTATTCAGTTGAAAACAAGTTTCCGCGACTAATTGAGTGCCGCCAAGGTCCGTGTTTGTATCTTGCAGACTTCTTTTGTAAGTTAAAGCACTTGGGAACAGAATAAGCTTAGTACGACAGTAGATACTTACGACCATCACTCATGCCGAGTAACGGCAACAACGAGCACATTAGCTCGGAGATGCTGGGTGTAATCAAGTTTAATTCTATTAGTGCGTTCAGTGCTTGTATAGAAATGATCTTTCCACCCCACGGAGAGCTCTTGTGCCAACAACAAGTAAACTGTCGTAACGTCTAGTATATCAGTGTGAATATTCCGGCAGTGCAAACTCGGCGTCTAAACTTATCTTTCATTGATAATTATCAATGATAAGTTGAGGATCGAATGAAGCACATTCGGTTCGAAGTCACAGATGTCTTTAATCTCGAAAATTTCATTCCTGAAATGTTTATACTAACGCAAATGACGCGAACCGTATGTGATTACAAGCAAAAATTCTGTATATGTGGTTAGAATGTCTTGCTGCTACCCAGTAAAGTCGTGTCTGATTTTTTAACATTGAGTAATTGGTTGCAGGTGCGGGAGTTCAAAACAACCCTTATGCGGTTGCGGTGTGGCGACGTATGAAGTGCAAGCTCGAAGGACGCACGGCAGGTCAAGATGACACGTGTCCAGCTCTTTCTGTCGCCCAGCAGGTTCGTAAATGTCTCTCAGTAAGTGATAATGGCTATTGATGATATCATGCTGGCAAGTGACAATTGATTTTTGGCCACGCTAACACGTTGACTTTTATTCTTTCATCTTGTAGTATCATTTAATTTTTTCTACTATTTTGACCCAGAGTTGCCAGACGGTCTTTTTTTCCGGACAAATTCCGCGATTGAGTTTTTTCAATTGCGTTGGCCGGCTAAAATTAATGTTAGGGTTATTTCATAATTAAATTTCAAAACTGCAAAAAAATTGAATTTTACAGCAAAAAGTTCATAGGTATATACAAGTAGTATATTGAGTTATAGGCCTTATTTGTTCGCGGACTTGGCCGTTTTTTAGGCCCTCTGGCAACCCTGAATGATGTACCACTACGTCATGGAGAAATAAAATTTGTGGCACCTATATGTACCACTTAGGTGTCAACGTGTTAACTGTCAGTCTGGCAAGTGATAAGTGCTATTTATGATCTCATTCTGGCTCTGTCCACCCAGCTGCATTGCCTCCAAAGCTCCTCATTCCCGGAATCGTACCAGGGCCTTCTCGATGATGGTCAGATATCATACCCTATAGATCACATGCAATTGCTGTATAGATCACATGCATATACCAGCAATTATTTCTTGGTGATTAAAAAGATCCCTATATAATTGGACTTCTATTCACAAAGATGCAAAGAGATGGTTGGTAATTTGAAGCACGAGCGGTTTGACTGCCTCTCCTAGTAATAACGAGCTTTTTAAAATGAATATGTCTTAACGAGAGAAAATTTTTGTAATTACCGGAACAACTAAACATTTTTAACCCCTAATACTTCGATAAAAATTTGTAACAGAATAGTGATGCGCATTAACTGTTTAATGCGACACCACATAGTTATGCGACATATTGCATATGTTTAATGCGACATAACACGTATGCAAATAATTGCAAATGCTAAGACATGTAGGCCAGCACTTTGGATAAAACAATTCAATTTCTCAGGTTGATGAAAGCATCGCAGCAGCGAAAAGTCTCGACAACCTCGCAGTAATGTATGAAGGTTGGACGCCGTGGGTGTGACGGACCGACCACCATCGCTCGACTAACGAAATGGAGGATACAGCCAGAAAAAATTGTTGAATTACTTTGTCGTAATAGTAGTACATTCAGCTCGTAACCCTAATGCGCCTGTTTCCTGGTGAAAAGTGAGCTCCACACCAAGGCAAGAATTGAATCACTAGTTGGGCAAAGTAGATTTTGTATAAATTAATACGAAAACCAAAGAATGGTAAAAGATTACAATAGCTACAACTTACATATACAGACCCTTTTGAGGCTAGAAGAATTTGTAAGGATCAATGTACACAATATTTGATTATCACTTGAAAAATGTTTATTGTATATTTATCCTACAGTATTGAAGGCCGAACACACATGAGTCATCGATTTTATTTCAACTTTGGCAGAAATACTATTCGTGTTCGGAAGTCTGACGGGAAAATGATTAAGTTTAAGCAAACTAATAGTGAAAGACCCAGGGCAGCACGAAGAATTGATACGGAGCTTTGACACCACACGTGCACGCCAAGCAATGAAAGCTCGCGCCTTCAGCCGCCGAACGGTGTGTTTTGCTTGACGCAAATGTTCGACATTTTCCGGGTTCTTCACAGTTCAATCAACTCCTGTTACCTTGAGTCTCTCGGAACAAGTTCAGTTCAAGTTATTCGCCCAATTCATTTTCATCTCAAATTTTGGGACAATCCTATAACTACCAACGCTGAAATGGATCCGGGATCGTCTGTGTTATAATAATAGAATCTTCAGGTTATTAGATCAATATTTATACCCTGCCGAGTTGTTCTACTCCGCACCTTTGCCTGAAGCGGGTTACTTGATCAAACAGACCCATGATACTACACATCTCAAGTGTACATATTCTAATGTGGCATATTCAAACTTTCACATGTTCTGTTGAAGTGTATACTTATCGCTATCATTGAGTAGATCATGTAGATGAAACCACACGTTAAGTTTCTAAAATAAAAACTATTCTAACAATAGACTAGCTCATTCTCCTCACATTGTTGGTGCCCGATACTCCGTTGCCGCGTTTATTCAGTCTCTCGCCTATGATCTCCAGTGCCCAATCAATGCCAGGCGCAATTTTCTCGTAATTAGCCATCATGGCGATAATGATTATTGCAAAGAATAGCCCGGCCATTGTGTTCTGACTCATCTCGGCGTCGATATTCCTGAGCGAAGGCCTGAAGTGTAACTTCACGTTTTTGAAGCTCGAATCAGCTACGAAAGAAACTTCGGGAGTCCGGTATGAATACATCATCGTCGAGAGACTAGACTCGAGGCTAACTGTATAGGTCTTACCGTCAGCAGTCATGGAGGGAAGCATGAAAAATGCCTGGTCAGTGAGTTTGATGGTGTGTACCGGCGAGTCGGGAACGTCTTCGCGGTACACTTTAATGCTCAGGCTGCTCAGAAACTCCTTAGGACTTTCCACGGATCCCACGACGTCCATCTGAGTGAAGTGGCGCAGCACAACGAGCTTCAGTCCCGTAATGTCTTCCTTCTGCACTTTAACGCGGGTGCTGGCCGGTAACATCCGCTCTATGTGCTTGTTGAGGCTCGCATCAGATTTCAGGCCGATGTCGTACTCGCACTGAAAAAATATGGTAAAATATGTTCAATTTTCATTGATGCTTAAACAAATTTTATTAGCTAGCATTACCGAGCCATCGCATTTATTTTCAATTCAATGTGCCATTTTTTCACTGATATTTTATTGACGAAATTTGCACAGCCAGAGTTACAAACTACAGGCACTACGTCATCTTTGAAACAATGTTTATCGGTATATTTTTATACGATATCCTTGCTACAAATAGGGTTGGGCTCATTTCATTATTCAATTGTAACGAAAAACACTAATCGTGGATCCCATAATTTTTCCTTGAAACCCAATTTAAAGCTTCCATAATAAGCATATTTCCTCTCGTACAAATGCTTATAGATGTGGCTAAATTTAAACACTCACCCATACATTGATACCATACACTTTATAAATTTCTCTCAGTACTACCTAACTTGAGTATGAGAATCATTACTAAAATATCTTACCTCTCCATTATTCCACCTCTAACTGACAGATTTCTCTTAAGGATACTAAAGTTTGAGTGAGCACTACTACCAACTAATCTTCCCTTTCTACTGCCCCACCCTGAACTTGATAGATTTCTCCTAAGAACTTATTAATTTAGTTAGAGGATCAAAACTAAGTGATCGTCCCACCTTGGGTAGCAGTCCACGTATCCTGAAGGCACCAGCATCATCGGTGACGGCTTCTTCCAAGTATTGTTCACAATTTTCGCCAACGCCCCGCGCCTCCAAAGCCACGTCAGGCTCCAGCACGCCCGTCAGTGACATGCTCGTGCCAAACGCGCTGTACGCCACGCGCACTCCTCTGTTCGAAGAAGCATGTGCTCATGACAGAGGCTTGACGCTCGAGAAGTAGAGAACATGTTATGCTATAATTATACAGAAAATTAGGCTTTAAACGACACTTGTCAAAAATGTTGTTGACTAACATGCACTCATGACCAAAGCTTAGCACTAACGAAGTTGAGGATACGTACGTAGTTTATATAAAATTTAACTGAAGATTTACATACTTTATGAAAAACCTTGTCAAAAAACAAGAGCTCATGAAAAAGGTTTAGAGCCTAAGATTATCCATCCAATTTCTTGATCTCATTATACGGGGAGTTCAAATAGACGTCATCTTAGGTTAAAAAGGCAACTAGCGAAAAATAACATAGAAATTCAATTGTGCTGTATTGTGAGGTGCTTTTAGTGATCTAGTAATACAAATCGACCGAGTCAAAGATAAGAGGCATTTATAAATGAAAATAGGTTTTTAACATGATAAAATAACGACTGTCGGTATAGCCTAGGCAAAGCTTTATTTTATAGGTGATGCCTGGGAAGATTGGTAATCTAATCTATCTACGAGAACAATACGAACGTGATTTTGATGTTGATGGTAGCTCCTTGTTCGACTGTGACCATCTTTGATGGAGGGTCGAAGTTGTACTCTTTCATTGCAGTCCTAAGGAAATACTCTCCCGGTAGAAGCGAATGAAAAGTGATGGAGCCGTCATCTGCGGTGAGGCTGTTCTGGCGATAGCTCTTGCCGCCGGACATGGATACCACAACTCCCGAAAGAGGTTTATTCTGTTCGTCTTTAATAAATACGACGACCTCGGCGAGCTTGAATGCTTCAAAATTTCCTTTATCATCTAGAGCTGTGAGAGTGTAACCTGTGAGACTCGCAGTTATGTTGTAAGAGACAGAATTGTCAAGAGGCCCTGCTTTGTACTTGCCCGTTTTGTCAGTAGTATACTGATGCTTCTCATTGCCAGCAGAGACAATGATATTGACGCCAGCCACTGCAGGCTTTACGCTGCCGTGAATAAATAGAGCTTTCTCAGCCTTGAACGAATAGGCATCAGACATGCACTCGGAACCGACGGTGAGCGACTGTTGCTTGGGATTATACTGAAAAAGGTCATCAGATGATTGAGGCACAAGTGTGACATGATCTCCTTCCTTCATCATATCTTCAAAGGTATACATGTTACCAGCAGAGGACTTCGGCTTGAGGGTTGTTTGCGATCCATCAGAGTGCGTCACTGACAGCGTGAACGCACCGGGTTCAGAACTCTTCAAAACACCTGATACTGTATGGCGCGTCGCTACTAAGGAAATAAGTGATGGACTTGATGTCGTCCACGTGTATGAGGGTGAGGTGAATTGATGACAGCTTTCAGGTGTTAGCGAGTAGGATCCAGGGCCAGAGAGACATGACTTAGTGCTACCTTTCTGTACGTCCAACTTCCCGGTAAGGGCTTCTGCAGAGCTTCTTCGAGAGTAGGCTAAGGTGGCGGGATGAGAGGAAGTCACTGTCAGAAGGTATCCAGATTGAGTGAAGGTGACAGCAATGTTCTCTGCGTTTAGTTGTGCTTTGACAGTTTTTTCCTTGAAACACCAATCGTCTTTTTCAACAGCAATTTCATAAGTGCCAGGTACCACTTCCTTGAAAGTTGCAGAGACTTTCTTCGAGTTTTTGGTACCAACTGAAAGAAATAAAGTTGAGTTAGAATTGTGACGGTTTGTATGATCAACAATCTGCATCATTCACAATACATCAGATGAAATGAGGAATTTTAACTACGATGAAATTGATAAGCCGAGATATTCACGTGCAGTAAGCCTAGCAAGCTCGGTGTAATGAAGCCAGTTATGCCAAGATAGAAATTGCACATTTCAATATCATTCATCAGTGAAGAACAGATCAGATGCACTGGATGCGTGATAGGACTTATTTGGCAACGTTAGCCATCACTGAGCTTGGTGATAAAGAGGTCTCACCAGCAGGAGCAGATCTCTCGGAGCCGTCAGCAGCAATAAGGCGGAACGGTATCGTGGGGCACGCTTCTAGGCAAACGACAGTAGCTGTGATCTCTCCCAGGAACTGTGAGAAAACCATTTCGGGCACAACGCCTTCGCGCACGGTGAATGTATGCTCAACGGGGCCGAACCTAAAACACAAGTCCCAACGGTTCTCATTAAAGCATTTCACAAACAAATCAAGGTTTGGGCATCCTATTCCATTTCTGACTCGAGATATTCTTAAGTCATAATTGAGGAAATGGTATCAGGATTATATATCAAAGTGGAAAAATAAATGTTTCAAATCATAGTAAGCCAATTACTGGACAGCAAAAAAGTCGCCTGTGCGTGAGCGAGAAAATATGTCTGCAATACACCGATGCACAAGGCCAATCTTTCCTATATTGATTTGATAAATCTTCCTAAACTTTGGAAGAGAAGCTAGCAACAGGCAGGTTTAGTCTGTCTTTACACTTTCATTCCATGATCGTCATCATTCAACGTGGTTCAATGAACATTTAACTCAATTAAAAAAACATAAAATTAATTACATTAAAACTCTATACATCACATAGAACCTTTGTCAGCAGATACGGCAATCGTCGTTAAAGCTATTCATGTTAAAAGGATAGTAAGTAGAGTTGACGTCTGAAGACTGAGGGTTAAAAACGCTACATATATTTTCGATATACCTGATGCCACTTTGTTGCTGCAGTTGCGATAGCTGCACGGCAGCAGAATACTTGCCCGGAGACAGAAACACGCAACCCTTTTTGGCGACAGCGTCTGTATTAACGACTTTCGCAACACCGTCAATGCTGGTGACCAGTATGTTCCTGAAAGTAGATCACCATGAAAATATTAATGAAGGGTCTACAAGGGAAATTATTTAAAAAATTATTAAATCTTACCAGGATGCACAAAATCTCATCCGTGGAGTATCATGCAAAATAAAATTTGAGATAAAGCCTATCCTTACATACCGATTAGATCAAGTTATCAATTGCATATATTGCGCCGCATTGCAACAATTATGTTATTAGCAAATAAGTACTACAGCAACTAATTATATTATTAGCAACTAAGTACTACATACAACTCAACGGATGTGTGAGCAGTGATTTAAATCATTTTAATTTAAGCAGGAATGTGCCACATTGATCTATGACCATGAATCGGTGCATAGGATCAGGGGCGGTACAAGTGCAATAACTCAACTATGCCCTGAGCCGGCTCGCGTGGTGGTCTGCTTTGCGACGCGGACTTCCTTGCGAGACCGGACCCAAAGAACAGCAACAACAACCACCACCAAATCAGGATTTCAAACTGCATACAATTAGCCACATTGCTATTGGCATGCTACGTACCACTTGTTGATAGCCTCGTCAGTCTTGTGCGAAGCTTCGTCTAGCGCGATCCTGAAGCAGACATTGTAGTGGGATGGTGAAATGACAGGCAGGAACGGCTCTGAGGCGGTCAGGCTCACAGCAGTGGTGGCAAACAGGACGTTCTCTGAGGAACACGGACCAGAGTGCAATTGAAAAAGAGCAATAGGAATACATATCATCACAGGACGAACAACCTGAAATTAGACAACATCTACATAACTCAGGTGATATTTTGCAACTGAGAAAGTCACCAGGCTGGATCGATCTTTATTAAATGAACCACAATTCATCGAATTATACCCTCAACACAGAATGACATTATTCGAATAGTTTGATGCACTGCAATTTTGTTCATATATATGCAAGTGTTATATCGGTATCAAAATTTTGATGGTGATGGAGTGAGGACAGAAAAATAATTTTTTTCAAAAGTAACCATATTTCTGAAAGAGCTCAAACTACAATAATATAATTATTGTAGCTTGACAAAATAAACAAGTTGATATCTTCGGCCATATCTTAATCCCTCCGATTTATGTGGAAATGTGGATAGCAAACTGAAAGCACTTTCGCTAACTAAGGCTTGGTAGGCTTGATAAAACTTTCAAATCATTACATTTTTTTTAAATTTGTAATATATAAACACGAATACAATTGAAAAAAATTATTATTAAATTTACAATGCTAGTCTGTCAATCCAAAACAAACGATAGTGGACATTGCTCCTTAAGTTGCAGGGCACACCAATAATTGTAACTCACCAGCAGTTACAGTCACTGTATACTGGCCAGGTTTGATGCTAGGGATGGTGTAACTGCCGTCCTCTGCTGTAGTTACTTTATGACTGCCAAGAGACACAGCAGCGCCAGCTACACCAGCACCGCCCATGCGGACCACTCCTGACACACTGAAGCCCTCCACCTGCGACACCGGACAAACTCATTAATGCTTGATATAATTCATTTTTCAACAAATAACAAATACTAGTAATAAAAGTACAATTATTTTAGTGTACAATTATTAAACAAAAAAATTAATAAAGGACATTGTCTAGAACTCAATCAAGCTTGCATCTAAGCCATTACAAATAAAAATATCGTTAATGACGCATCAGCCGATAGTGTTTAGCTGTTACACCTAACGCGCACTCCTATGATTAAAATGAAGCTGTCCCAATCAAAAGATACAGGTATTGTTTTATTTTTAGCAACATGACTCAGTTTTGAATCCGTCGAAATGTTATTAGAATTGTATTTTAAGATATTTTTATCCAATTTATAATTTAAATGGGATCCTGGTGACTTAAATGGCAGTGGCGACTCATGCGTCATTTAATAGATAACTTTGAGCCACACAAGGTTTTTCTAGTAGCTCTAATCAACAGAGGTACTTGGTGGTCAACTGGAAATTTTCAAGCACAATATCAGACCTAACGAATGAGCTTAAATTGTCGCTATTCATATTCCTGTAACAATTAGCTACAAACAATTTCTCTTCTCTCTTCCTTCACATTTTTGGCTCAACAGAATTTAAACTGGCAGATAATAGTGAAAGTACGAAAATTTATAGCCTTCAATGGTTTGCTTTGAAATATTTTTAACAAGCTAGAATGATTAACTTAAGAAAGGACATCGCGCTCCAAGCCTGAGCTCACTTGGAAGCTTTTTTCCACTTTGGCGTTGTCGTGTAGAACCACAAATGCTACGCTGGGAGGTGAAATGACGTATCGCGTCACTGACGTGTGACGATGAGCGGTAATAGAGTACTTGCCAGGTGCCACGTCAGTGAAGGAGTATTTGCCTGACACGTCCGTGGTGACATGACACAAAACATTGCCAAGTGACGCAGGTGGTTGATAACCGCTAGGTGCTCCCTTCTGGCAGCCTGTAAAATAAAAAATTTAATAAGTGCACTAAGTAAGCAAGTGCATCATTAAATAAACAAGTGTATTTCATCCTTCCAAATCACTATTATACACAAAAAATTGTAACCATCACACGGGATAATTTGTGTGGATATAGAAGATAGAAAAAAGTTGGTTCACATCTTCCCAGCTCATTAATATACACAAACACATTGTAAGCAATTTTGTGCATGGTAAAAGTATGGGAGACACTAAAATAATAGGTTTCTGAATGCAACAAAATGAAAAATTATTGACGAGATCATGAAGAGTTACGAACGTATGCATCTTGACCACAGTTTACAAGTTGTTGAACTAAGCGCAGCAAATTCACCAGGAGGGAAAGTTTGGTAGTGCTTCACAAGGCTGGATTCACTTGAATGTATCACGACACTGACGCCCTCCACAGCGGCACCTTCCACTTTGCCTTCCACTTGATAGCCTCGCACCACGAGTGATCCTGGCAGCACTTCTCCATTTCTGTCACTGATGCTCACAGAGGCCTGGAAATAAATTTTTATATAATGGCACATCGTCTGCACACTCTGCAGCAATTGCTGATACACGTTAAATTGGGATAACAAATTTTATTGGCGCCATTTTTAAAATTGTGAGAAAGAGACGAAGCTTAATTTACGAGGTCAGATTTGCTCAAGAAATTAATATAGAAATTATGCAAGAGTAAATTCACACCTTTTCAGAGATGAAGTTCCAGGAAGGATGAGTGATAGAGACTGAGTACTCTCCAATTGCCAGAGGAGTGAAGACAAATGCGCCATCTTTGTCTGTGGTGGTTTTCTGAACAATGTTTCCTTCTTTGGAGAGAGACACATGGATGCCAGCAGGACCACCAGCTATATCAGCAGCCGCCGCAGATGATACCTATTAAAAATAAAAAACTTAATGATGTAGAGCTGTCCAAAAATGTCATACAGGGCTTATATATCTACTTATATATAACCAATGTTGTATCAAATATAATATTTCAAGTATAACCTTATAAAGAGGATAGATTGAGTTAATGACAGTATGTGTTAATCAGAATTACAACTAATAAAATATTTTTTATGCAATTACATCTTTATTAAATAATATCATTGACATCATAAGTATCATTGATAAATAAGTGTCTTTAATGAAAAAGTTTCAAGTTTACTGGATGAATCTTTTTTAAACATAAAGACTTTTTAATTTGAATAATAAGATACCTTTCCCAGAACAGCAAATCCCTTGAAGTAGAAATTAATGTCTTCCTTGAGGCTGCACAAATCTGTGGCTCCATCAATATCAACAGAAACTTGGGCTGGCTCAACACTCCAGCCAGGCGGGGGAGCTACCTGCAACACAGAGGCTTTATTAGCAATCATCATTTAAACTCACTCTGATAATGAAGCTTCCTTTGCCGTCAATTGGCATGAAATAATAACCATCATTTGGTGCACAGTCCGTCTCATACTTCAGGCTTCCTTGTGCAGTGAATCTGAAAAATTTGTTGCTCTTACATGCAAAATAAGTCTATAAAAGGTCTTAGCAAGTTTATTGCTATAATGCTATTAATTACTAATTTTTATCATCTTGTGTAATATATCATTATGGTAAGTATATTTTAATTGTGTTCCTAAAAATCTTGCAACTCTTTGCCAAAGCAAACAGGAAGACAGCAATGCCAAAAATTGGCCTATATTTGCACAATAAATTCTTAGAATTCTATGATTACTTATGGATTTATCATCTGATTGTAGAATTGTAGAATGGTAGTTAGATTCACTTGATTTGACTAGTAAATATTCAAATGTTTATGACAAATGTATGGCTCCCACATTGTACATTGCATTCAAATTGCTAACTTTGAATAAAAATAATAAAGCAATGGCATTTTTGTTGTCTGAGTATCTCAGTAAAAATTGTTAGTGAATCAGGTCCAATTGTAAGTTTTTCTTTAATTTATACTTTAAAATATGTCCAATATATTTTAAGCACTCAAACTCAATACAGGAACAATTCTTCTCCAGAACAGAACTTAGCAGACAATCATTAGAAAAATTGTATGGTAAATTAAATAGAAACAATTTGAGTCCAATTTTGTGTCTTGAGTTTATTTAAAGAAGTTTATTAGGCTGTTAATGTTAGATTAGTTCAGTTAAAAAGTTAATTCATGTAAATAATATGCATTTAAAAATTACTTTTTAAAGACAACACTTCTAAAGAATACAGTGTCTCTGATTTTACACATCTACAATGAATTTCTAATTTAATTTTTATATATTAAAAAAGTTAATTTATAAATTTTTTCTGATATATGAAAAAATGAGCTTTTCAAAATTATTTATTGTGTCAACTGATTCATGCATTGTCTCCGACTTTATGAAAGTGTGCAAAATTTCAGATTGATTGGAGAGGTAAAAGTGTGTTAAATATTGATTATAAGATTAGTGGCAGACAGACAAACAACAAGGAGTGAAGTTAAAGAGAAGTGTTGTAAAATAATATGCGTTTAAAAATTACTTTTAAAAGACAACACTTCTAAAGAATCCAGTGTATCCAGTATTACCATGTTACACATGTACAATGAATTTCTAATTTTGTTATGAAATGTTAAAAAATTAATTTTTTAATTTTATTTTTAAACTTAAAATTTTTTTACAATGTTTCAAAATTATTTATTCTGTCAATTGATTAATGAATTGTCTGCAACTTTACGCAAGTGTGTAAAATTTCAGATCGATTGGATAGGTAAAAGTGCGTTAAATATTGATTATAAGTTATATAGCTCAGACAAAATTTTCAATTTTTAATAGTACCTACCTATATAAAAGGAAATTTTTACAATTTTCAAAATTATTTTTTCTGTCAATTGATTCATGCATTGTCTCCAACTTCACGCAAATGTGCAAAATTTCAGATCAATTGGAGAGATGAAAGTGTGTTAAATATAGATTACCGTATAAGATTTGTAGCAGACAGACAAACAAACAAGAAGTGAAGTTAAAGAGAAGTGTTGTAAATAGAGAACAATTCTCTCTATTGGGCTAACATTGGTAAATATAGTATTGAATGTCTTCAATAGAAATCATCATTACTGACATTAGTAATCTGGTTGGTGAGAAAAGAAAGGACTTATCACAGATATTATGTATAAATTCTGATGACTTTCCTGTTTTAGTGGAATTTAAATTCTGATTTTTTACAACAATTAACCTATTTCCACAAACATCTTGGTCACTACTCACTAGGACTCTAGGAGCAATAGTGATGCAAAAATTATTTATACAGATGCAGCCAGTATAAATGGATTGCATTTTGCAGTCTCTAGCCAAGTAACAAATTCACACCCAAGGTGCCTATGTAAGATTTTAGGGGATGAAAGTCCCAACTCACAATCACTCTTATTATGCAATCTTTAGATTGCAATTTACAATTGATGTAGCCAGTGACAGATAAAAGAATACTAGAAGTAGAATAGAAGGGGTGATGGATACCAACCAAAGTGGGTGGCACATGCCAATCTGCATTGTGTTGAACTGTTGATTGATTGCTGATCAGACTTGCATGATGAAGAACATGGATAACCTAATTAGGCTAATGAAGGACAAGATGTCTGATCAATAACAAAGGGAGCTAATATCTTAACTTGAAAAGCCTACTTCATAGTCTTTTTAACAAGAAAAAGAGTAAAAAACTGATTATTATGGCTTCAGAATAAATAAATTTTTTGGGTTAAATTTAAAAATCTTGTAGCCAGGATTATAATTTTCCTACTTGTTTCTGAAATCTCACAGCGCAGTGTGATAAATTTTGAATACATTTGGAATCTTGCAGTTGCAGTTACAGCCAGGTTGTGCACTTTTGTTAACAATTGGATAGGACTCATAGGAGATAATTCATCTGGCAGAAATCTCGCTGTTCTGGAATTGGCAGGATATGGGATACCTATAGTTGCAGCCCTAAAGGTAGATGTTTTCCCGCTTGCTTGTGGCTATGTATGTTATGCACATGCAGTTAAATACAATAATAATTAAATTGAATCTTCTCTCTTAAAAATATCAAAAAAGCTCTAATTTTTATATGGGTTCCTACAAGAATTTTTTTCTATGGCAAAGGACAATACAAATTCAATGTCACAAATGATAACAATAGAAATGCAATTACACCTTAATAAAAAAAGGTACTTTTTCTCTAACTCATAAGTCACAGCTGATATATAATATGAATTATCCATTAGTCACGCTCACAACAAGAATCAATGGCTCATAATTTCATTTCATTTGGCTGCCAATTGGCCAAAATCTGACAGAGTGACAAAAGGTATTATTGCAGATTAACTACATCCAAAAAAAAGGGTGTTTTTTTTTTTAATTATATGTTTTNCGCTGTAGTAAATATTTCAGGTCTCGCTGTAGTAAATATTTCAGGTCTCGCTGTAGTAAATATTTCAGGTCTCGCTGTAGTAACTGTCTCTTATACACATCTAGATGTGTATAAGAGACAGAAGTATTACTGCCAACCAGGCTGGAATTCTAAAATTTGTGGTTCACATAAAAAAAGCGTTCCGCCTTAAAAAAAAACGTTCCAGGCAACTAGAAACAGGTTTGCAGGCCGTCAGAAATAGGCTTTGGTTGCGGTAGCTATGATCATATGAACGTCAAGTCAGGCAACACAGAGAAGGTCCCATGCAAGATTTTTAATTGCGCGCGTCACTCACAGATGAGCAAGAGGGATGGATCTACAGAAGGAAATACTATTTACTCCCAACATAATAGTTTCAAATTAAGTATAAAAAAAACATTTATGGCACCGATTCATTACCTCAGCTTTCAAATTGAGGAGAAACTCATCGGCAGGTGGAGAAACTTCTCAAAGAAAAGGCAATGCACAACAAACAACATGACACTTCACAGTTGACTGACTAGAATAGACTCAATAGTCTATTCTAGTAGTACTCGAAAGTAGTACTAGTACTAGTACTAGTAGAACTCGAAAGTCAAAAATTTGGCATTCAAACCTTTAGATTCTGTAAACCTTGTGATTTCTTCATTATTAATACTTTAGAAGACTCAGGCTCACAATATATCAAGTAAAGTTTTCACTCAATTATTGTCTCGAAGTTCGGTAGCTATATCTGCAGTAATGTTCTGTAGTTACCGTACCCACCGATTGCTTAATGAGAACTAACCAACATGCGAACCATCATTACATTCCCGCCACTGTTGCACATGATTGATTCTGCATGCATGTATAACATTTATGAAGATTATTAAACCATTCTGATTTCTGTTGAATGTCAGTTACTGATAAATTTTTAATGTCAAAGAATTGGTATCTTTCATTTTTTCACATGACTATATTGATGTCGGTTTCACATTGGTTGCCGGTGCAGTTGGTATCCCTGCTACCTTCTTTGTCTACGTTTTTTTTTTTGTTTGGCTGATCGCAATGAAAGGAGATTGTATGTCTCAGCTGCTTGCATCGGTGGTCAGTTTTGTATTTGTGGATTGAATCATAGGCAGTTTTTCATGTATTTGTGAGTGAATGTACATAGTGAAGATGTTATTCTTTGTGATTTCCATCATTAATGACATAACTACACTACTGTATTATGCTCTTGAAATAAGAATTGTAGCATTACGCATTAAGTTAGCATCAGTGCGTTAACATTGTGTGCATTTGAGGCGGTCCCTTCTAGCTTTCTATTGCTGATTGGATTCCAGTGGCTGTGACGTTGCACACGTT